ATCTATTGGTTTGCCTGGCTTTGGGGTGACCACGACCGAAGCAGTCTTCCAGGATTGAGAGAAGAGCCCAGTCTCCCAGATTTTATTGACTTCCTTGGTCAGTTTTTCAATGGATTTGCCGTCCAAAACAACCACCCGCTTGTAGCACAAAGCCACAAGGTAATCCAAACGGATTTCTTGGAAAGAAAGCCTCTTAGTTGCCGAAAAATTCGTCCTGGTCCGGGGTTCAAACCCGAGACCAACGTGATAGGGTGGTTGCTCTGCCAATTGAGCTAACCAGGCAGCTAACCAGGAATGTATCGAGATGACTTGAGAGCCCGGGAAAGTTAGCACATGACTGAGAGTTTCCTGCAGCATAATCATGTGCGGTTTGACCACCTGAGAAGTAACAAAGTGCAGCAGTGGACCCCTGCGTCTTTTGAAACTCGCACAGTACCGCTGCCACACGACCAGCTTATATTAGTGTTGCCCGCCATGATTATCACTATGGCTTGGCCAATCCCATGCCGGGTTGGCGGTTGCCGCGCCTGCAGGCGACTGTGCCCTGTCCGGGCGTGTCCAAGGTGAGATACCCGTAGCTAGCGCTGCCTGCATACTTTCAAGAGCCGACACCCTTTTAAGTAGGATGGTCATGCTATCATCCAGTTGTTTGTTGATCGATTGCTGCATACTTTCTAAAGCTTGTTCTTGGACTGTTTCCATAGCCTCGCACTCCCCTTCGGCAGGTGAGGCCTGTGGGATCTCAATGTGGTGAGCGCCACGCTCTTAGAGTGAACAGAGACAGCAGACGCTGTCGGAACGAAGCAAAATGACACATTTATTTACCTGATTTCAGAACGACGATATCATCAGCCGAATTATTATAACGTCAATTGTGATCAACACGCTGAACAACCTTACAATATATTACACCACACTCAACATGACAAAACACAAGAAGAACACACTCAAGACGGCTTCGCCAATGCTTGACTTGCCACGAGGGCCCCCGGCGCGCAACCCGCGGTGCCGCACACTGGGGACCCACCGCTACCTGCCAAAGAGGCCCGCTTCTTTCTCATGTGTCGCCACCCAGGCTTTCCACCAGGCGTCACCGCTGGCGCTATACCATGATGATGATGGTGGTATTAAACGCTCGCGAGCATAATGCCACCTACCGCACGATAGTTGCGACCCCTGAATGTGGCTTCTGTGCTAAACACATGCGCCACGAGGCGCAAACAACATTACAGGAGGTGATAGCACCCTACAGGTCTTTCATTTGCGGTCACTGTGAACAAGGCTCCCGTGTGGGGAGCCGAAACATCTTTTAAAGTTTTGCGTATTTCACCTTGGTCGGCGTTTTTGTTATTTTGCACCAGGTCTTTCATTTACCTGACCACGCCTGCGCGTCCCCTGGTGGCGGAATTTGTTGTGTGTCACAATGCGAGGAGCAACACATGCAAAATGATTCGAGGTCAGCCCTTATCAGTTGAAGCTCTGACTTAAGGTAAGCATTCTCTCGTATCAACTTAGCTACCCTGTGGTCTTCCCTATGCTCTGGCAATGGTGCCAGTGTTACCTCTGGTGGCAGCCCCGCTGGCCTCTGCTTTGCTCGATCCACCCAGGTAGGCTCTTTCTGGATCCGCACACAAGATTGAGCGCGGTCCCTGGAGCAGCTGCTCTGGCGGCCAGCTGGCGTGACGGAACCTCCCCGCCTAGGGCCACTTGACACGCCGAAATCCGGTGACCACTCTTCTGCGCCAATTTTTGTTGAGTCTTTCTGGCGCGCGTTCGGCGCTGTCGTCTTCTTTGTCGCACGACGTAAGGAACTTGAAAGCGTTCTTTGCTTGTTTTATTTCCCATAAGATGTGGTCCTCCGCAAAGGGCATGTTTTGGCAAACATTGGTCCTGTGTCCTAGGCCTCAACATGCGTAACACGTAATTTCGGTGCTTGTAGAGCATGCAGCGCAGAAAGCTAACGCTACACATGATGTAGTTGGGTACCTTCAAGTCGTCAAAAAGTACTACTACCGTGGTGGTTTTTTAGATCCTTTCAGCTTCCAAGGGCCTGCGGATTTCGCTGGTTGGTGATCATTTGTTGAAGCTGGGCCTCGATGTCTGCGTCCACTCCGAATGGCTCCTTTACAAGTGTTATCAGGAGCCGCCATATATGCCGCTTATCTGGATTTGCTGGATCCCTGCATAGGCGTTTGTGTTCTTCTGCTCTGGTGTGGAAACGACGAGAATGTTCTGGGCGATTTTCGGGCAAATTATGTCACTCTCGGTCTCTGGCGAGCGAGAGCAGCCGCCATGGCAATAGCCTGTGCAAGCCTTATTTGGCTTACTTTTCTGATGTCTAGTCCGTTTCTCGGCAGGACGATAATTCGTATGTGGTCCCTCAATAGCCGGGGGAGCCTCGATGCAGCTGCAAGACGTGTCATCGCACTTTGCGGGGTTGCCCTGCGGGGGCCTCCCTTCAAGCCCACATGTGATGTGTTGCCGTCCGAAACTGGCGTTTCTGCACAAGCTTTTTTGTTCCTGCCTAGTGCTGTCGGGCAACCCGGGTGATTTGCTTCTTAGTGAGGGATTTCCTCTCCTTCCACATCTCTACTTCTGGCATGTTGCTCCTCTTCTGCGCATCACGTAGATGCTAGGCCGAGCCGCAGCACGTTCCACACGAAAAGTTCCAGTTTTTCGGCAAAAAAACCACTCACCGAAAAAAGTCCAGTATCAACGTGAGCTTCATAAGAAAGTGCGTCGAATGAAATGCACTTGACCACAGAAAACACAAAAATACGAGCGAAAACATTCACAGAAGCAGGAGCCGATCTCGCGTCCGCACTGGTCGGCGCCTCTTCTTCTTCACCAGTGAATGTATGTAAAGACAGCACGAGCGAACGAATGCTTCTGTTGCTCCAAGTGTGCTGCGATAATTCACCTGTGAACAGACACAGCACAATATGATCGCACAGCTACTTCTGCTGCTAAGACTCGACTGACTGAACACCACGAAAGAAAAAAAATGTTTTGTGTGCCACTGCTTTGCGTGGAGTTGTGGCGGAGTGCTGCAGCCAGGCTTAGGCCGGCCTAGCTGGTGGCGCCATGCCACGGAAGAAAAGCAATTTAGCACCGCACCAACTTCGCTTTTTCGAAAAATGAGGTGCCACAAGCCGAACCAGTCTAAAGCGGCCACAAAGTTTCTGAAGCTGCCCCCATGACCTCCTCTCTGGAGAGAGGAAACGGCGTTAGAGGAGCATCACATGGTGTTTCACCGCACCGTGCGGTGCGGTGAAGCATGCTTTCGCAGGGAGCCGAGTGGGGCAAAGCGGCGACTGGGCGTTAAGAATTAGTGGTTTTTCGGCCTAGTTGATTGATTTGTGGGGTTTAACGTCCCAAAACCACGATATGATTATGAGAGACGCCGTAGTGGAGGGCTCCGGAAATTTTGACCACCTGGGGTTCTTTAACGTGCACCCAAATTTGAGTTTTTTCGTCCTAGTTGATTCACGGGAAAGCTCAAAAGGTGATCTGATGGATTATTTTTGTTGTTCTCGACAAAAAACTCCGCTATATTCGCTGAGTCGCGTTTTTGTACTTCATTAAAAGTGGGGAAAAAAGGCATTGAAATGCGGAAATTGGAACGAAAAATCAAGATGACTTCGTTATAACTGCTATTTTGCTGTAAGTGGGCTTGTTATAAATGGGCTACACTGTAGTTCTTGCCTTTCAGTCGTCTCAGGTGAAACCGTAAAGAAAACTGCGAGTTCTTTTTTTTTTCTCTCTTTGACACTAATGACAAATGGAAAAAGATAATCTGATTTATTTCGGTCAGATATGCAGAGTGGTACACAGTAGTATTATATACTTAGGCATGCAAATGATGAGGTTGCAATAGCTTGAAAGAAAAGATAAAATGTGAATGCTATAGAAGTCGAACACATATATCAAACCGGTAGCACCGCCTGACAGAGTTCGGTGAAAACAGTGCGCCGTTATGTTAGTTTTACTTTTGACCCCCCCCCTGTATCTATGAAAGTCGCCAAGAAGCACCAATTCAAATTAAATCGCATAAAAACACGAATTCGTGAACTTTCTAATATGCATAGCCATCCAGCGCCAGATTCCTCTAGTCTACTTGCACAGCGCCACTGTGCGGCAGTGGCGAGCGGAGGTGGAGCATGCTCTCGACGGCCTGAAGAGAGCATTCGCCCAGGCACTGAAAAAAATATAGGCGCTGGGCAGACATACACAACACTAACCATGGCAAGGAGAGCTGCCATCATTCTAAAAGTGCTCAGCGGTTGCCCGCAAGTCGAAGTTGCTTGAGAGTTCAACATTTTGAGAGTTTAAGAACCCTGCAATCCTACTGAAGAGCCGGATCTGCTGCCCAGCGTAACGGGCTCAAGTGCGGACGTCATAGACGACCTGCGAGACTAGCGGTGTGCTGATTCCTGACGCAGTTACGTTTGAAGACTTCCCAAGTGTTGACGATGCTGTGTCGTCGTGTGCCGAATTGAACGACGACGACATAACTGAGCAGGTTTTGCAATTGCCAAACAGCGATTCTGAATGCTGATGACGACGCACCATGTGCTTCGGAGCCGTTGCATGCAAAACTGTCTCTAGTCCTCGCAATCATTTCATCGTCCTACCTGTGGTCCTACAGCGAGCATACCACACTGACAGAAATACAGAGGAACTTGGTTGCATGCAAGCAGAAGTGTGTGCAGCAACGCATTGACAGCTTTTTCCGGCCACAGGGTCACTGAAGCGTCGATAAACGTATATTTTCTGACGCATTCGTTTTTTTCAAATATTCGATGATTCGGACTTATGTACGTTTCTTGTGGAGTCCGAATTATCGGTCGTCGACTACAAATTATGTTCACTATGCCTTTGGTGACTTCATTGTCTGTAAGCTTTATTGGCACAAAACATTCAATGAATAAGTTTTCAAGCAATGCCCATCAGTCATAGCGTCTGCAGTAGTACGAGCGTGTCAGCACAAGTGAACTCACCACATTTGTGCTGAAGTCCTCCAAACTGCGCCGGCTGATACGACAGTCTGTTTTCGAAGGGAGCTCTGGCAGCAGGCTCTGCTGCTCCACTTGAGCCAACTCCGTCAGTGAGGTGGGCGGCTCCTGTGTGTCCATCAGGCCACCAGGATTAGCCAGTGGAAAGCTGGAAGACGCTCCTGACAACAAGCACTTCCGTGGGAGGTCCAAAACGTGCTTATCCACTGCAAGAGGACAGTGGCAAGGTGTTCCTTACAAGGTCAGAATATGCCACAGAAGATGCAGCTAGTACTAGTATAGCAAACTAGGATATATACAATGCCTTGCAACTTGCCTACTACAAAGCTTCAATACCTCTGACACTTAGCAAATTTCAAATCTATAAAGAAGGTGATTAACAAGTGAAGCAGCAGTAGTCAAGTAAAAGAAATGGGGGGAGGGGGGTCAGTAGGTAAGCCCTTTGCCGCTCGTAGCAAGCTCAGCTACGCATAAACTGAGCGCCTTTATTGTACAACTGCACAGCGAGGTGCAACACCCTCTCAAAAGTTAGAAAAAAATCAATGCTAACATAAACTGCCCCTCAAGAAGTAACCAACTACACCCGTCTAAACCTAGCCCCTTTTAGGGACACTGATCTTGCAAGATGCCTGTACCATGTATTGCACTTATAATAAAGAAAATTATTTGTTGTCACTGGAGGAAATGAGGACCATATTATCACGGGTATAGAAAGGTACCTCAGTGACCGGTGCAGAAACAACGCAGACGAAATGAAGACGACGTTGTTGTGGGGCTGTGTCTGAACTGCCCTCTTGTCCTGCATCCTTGCATACTGTGTGCAGTGTTAGCCCACCCGGCGTCCACTTATTAAATACTCCTCCTTACATATTACCAAAAGTTGGATTTCAGAAGGAAACTAGTAATGAAATTTTGAGTTTTACGTCCCATAACCTAGATTTGATTATGAGAGGAGACACCGTAGTGCAGGACTCTGCAAATTCTGATCATCTAGTATTCTTGAACGTGCAGTGACATTGCACTGTACACGGGCCTTTCGCCTCCACGGAAGTGCGACTGCCACAACTGGGATCGAACCCTTCTTCACAAGGAAGCCTCAATACTCGCATGATCACAAAGCGTCTTCTGAATGAACCCATCTGTTCAAGCACTTACTAGGTTCGGACCTGTCAATAATGAACGCTTCCTGTCAATAATGCACACTTTATGCAAGTGCTATCAAAATACATGTCACTCAGTCCTGAACTCGTATTAAAATTTTAATGATGTGTGGGGTTTAACTACCCAAAACCATCATATGATTATGAGATATTCCGTTGTGGAGGGCTCCAGAAATTTTAACCACCTGGGGTTATTTAACGTACACCCAAATCTGAGCACACAGGCCTACATTATCATCTTACTGCTAAATAAACTAGCTCCTCAAAACTGTAAAACATGCAGATTAACCCACCTCGGTAGTGATTATGATGCTCAACTATTGACCCACAAGTTGCAGGATCGATTCCGCAAACTGTGCGACGTGGGCTGCCACATTTCCGATAAGAATGAAAGCACTCGAGGCCCGCATGCTCAGATTTAGGTGCCCTATAAAGAACGCCTCGCAGTCGAAATTTTCAGAGCCCTCCACGTGGAGCCTCAGACAATCATATCATGGTTTTGTGACATTAAAACCCCCAGTTATTATATCAAAACATGCAGATCTAGAGGGGATTCACAACCAGCGGAGCAGGCAACCAGAAGAACATGGTACAGTGATCACAATCACAATTTTAGACTGCCCACCTAACGAAAACATTTGATCCACACTTGCTGCAAAAGCGCAACTTATAAATGTGATACACACTATTCATTTGGTGGTCCTTTAATTAGCACTCAGGGTTTAAAGACCCTGGCTACATGCTAGTAATAAAACATTGCATTGTACTCTCTTCATGTTACAACTTGTCTTCAGTTTCATTGCAGCCACTTAACTCGTTCTTCTTTGCATTGTTATGTTGTGCTCACTCAGCCATTCTCAATGCACTTGTGTCTACCTATGCAGATCTGTGCAAGTAGCTATGTCAGCTGCACTTGCTTGGCAACGAAACCTTGCCGAGTATGCAACTTTAACGGACATTACCTAGTCAGCATATCTCAAGTTACCAGCTGCAACATTTACAGCTAGAGGGAAAATGGCTAACCAACGCTCGTTTGCAAACATGTCCATTGAGAGGGATTGAACAAAGTTCAGTGATCCATACCTCTTGTGACAATGTCCTGTAAACGTTGTTCATTTGGCGATAGCACCTCTTCGGTGAGCAGCACTTCAGACCTCAGGTCCAGCAACCGGGGCCTTTTCCTCTGCCTAACTGGCGATGGAGAGTCAGGCTTGGTTCGCCAAGATCGAGGCTTCTACAGAAGAAACCATGTACACATCACTTGTAACCACTAGCATTACGTATGTATCCACATCCATATAATCAAAGGGGTCCCGAACCACTCTCGAGCTTGCCAGCAAATGCAGCCATGAACTGCCAAGCCAAATTTTGTAGTCAAGAGCAGCACATACAACTGAAGTGCAAAGTTGCCGACTGTTCTTAGCGCCCTCTCTATTTTGTCATTTAGAAGACTGGTACTAAACTCAAACCTTCATATAACGAATTATCAGTTATAAAGAAATAAGTGACCACTAGCTTTGCCATAGATACAGTAATACGAGCAAACATTTATAACAAATTTTCAGATATAATAAAGTATTTTCGTGACAGATGTGTAGTTATTATAACAAGGTTCCAGTGTATTGTCCGATAGCCGACACAAATGATGAGTGGCATTTGGATTCATGCGCTCCTTGACTCATGCCATCACTACGCTTCATTATAGAGCGCAAAAATTGGACAGTAGCATACACTTGCACGACATCAGAAGTGAGCAAATGCATTTTTATGTTGTGCGCCGACGTATTTTCACGACCATGTCATCCCTCGACAAATAGATTTCAGCACACTCACCAGAATGAAAGATGAGAAAAATAACTTGAAATGTGTGGCATATGCCTGTAACTGTGTACTTGAGATAGTCAACAATTTTTTAGATAATGAGGCAATGAGTTCCATAACAAAGGCCATGGGGCTATTACTGAAAGAGTGTTTCAAGACCCTTTTTAAAAGTTATGCCCTGCCCGCAAACAGCAGGATCTGTTGATGACCAGTCATCTTTGTGTCTGGGCAAGCATCCTCAGTGAGCATTACAGGCAGGGTTCAACTATTGGTGTTCAACAGAGTGTTCAAGGGATATGAATAATCATCATCATCAGCCTGACTACGTCCCACTGCAAGACAAGGTCCTCTCCCATGTTCCGCCAGTTAACTCGGTCCTGTGCTTGCTGCTGCCAATTTATACCTGCAAACTTTTTAACCTCATCTGCCCGCCTAGCCTTCTGTCTCCCCCGTAACCCGCTTGCCTTCTCTAGGAATCGAGTTAGTTACCCTTAATGACTAGTGGTTATCCTGTATACGCGCTACATGCCTGGCCCATGTCAATTTCCTCTTCTCGATTTCAACTACGATATCCTTAACCTCCGTTTGTTCTCTAATCCACTCCTGCTCTCTTCTTGTCGCTTAAGGTTACACCTACCCTTTGTCTTTTCATTGCTCGCTGCGTCGTTCTCAATTTAAGCTGAACCCTCTTTGTAAGTCTCCAGGTTTCTGCTCCGTAGCTAAGTACCGGCAAGATACAGCTTTTATATATCTTCCTCTTGAGGGATAGTGGCAATCTACCTGTCATGATTTGAGAGTGCTTGCCGAATGTGCTCTACCCCATTCTTATTTTTCTAGTTACTTCAATCTCGTGGTTCGGCTTTGCAATTATTACCTGCCCTAAGTAGACAGTCTTTTACAACTTGAAATGGACTTTTACCTATCTCAAAGCGCTGCTCTCTTTTGAGGTGGTTGTACATCACTTTTGCTTGATATGAACAGCTTCACCCAACTGATGCCGTGAAGTGCACACTGCCATATGTGGTAACCCATTTTTTGCAACTGCCATTCATTCTGCTTTTACACAGCTGAAATTTACAGGAAGACAAAGGTGATATAACAACACATTTTTAAACAAAGAGTCCCCTGCTAGAAACTGTGCCACTACAAAAGTATTTCGATGTATGTGTTGGCCGCTTACCCTAATCTTGCGGCTGAGAATGGGACAGTCATAGGCAGCAGACACATAAGGCGGGAACCTCTCTGGGGATGCTAACCTGTTGTTGGCAAGGCATCTGCAAGACACACATTTCATTACAACGTCGCACTGCTTACCTGCACACCATTAACTTATCAGAGCAGCCCTGACACTTCAATGGGCAGAACGGGCTAAAAAGGCGAAACTGAGAAATTGTATAGCAGTCTGTGTGAGGCTTACAAAGAAACACTGACCATTTTCACAACCTCCCTTTCCAAAAATGCTGAAAACAGAAAGCAGCGATTGAAATTGTAGTTTGGTAAGAGCACCACAAATACTGAAATAAAAGCTGTCTGAGCTGGCTACACAAAATTTGAATTTCATTTGTACAACGACTTCAGACATCAGTTCAACGTGCTAGCTTTGAACCGAAATTCTTAGGCTATTAATGCGAGAGCTCCACAAGGACCCTTAAGTGCAGAAGTCAACAAGCGGATATGATAACAGACATACTGTAGTACTGAAGCACAATCACAAAAAGAAGAAACAGGATGGCAGGACTTCTTCCGTGGTTATGCTTCAGCGCAACAAAACATCTGTTTGCCAGAAACTTCTGCAGTAACATGTTCTTCTGTAGTGGAAATCAGAAAGGCTGTTCCATGGGTGGACCTGAATGCTAAGCCTACTTCACGACCTTTGAGAGACAAGAGTTCTTCCAAAATGTTTTCAAGGCCTAACATGCCTCATCAAACGGGAAAATTGACTGGTGTCCCGCTTCGGCGTTTCTCGTCAGTGACGACCAGTGATGCAAAAAATCATCACGTGATAACGCCATCACAGATCAGCGAAACTTGTGACATCACATGACTTTGTCGCTTGGAGAAAAGTGGCTAGCGCAAAACCATGTGTGAGCTCTCCGAGGGTGGCACAGCAGGACATTGACTGAGAATATCACTTTTGCCTGCCAGTCATTTCAGTGAGTGCGCAAGAGACACTGGGAAGGTGTTTAGTGCAGACACTAGACAAATGAGAGGACACAGCACATTCTCTAAACTAAAATTTATTCTAAAGCATCACAAACATGCATATATACAGACCAAAGAAAAAACCCAGGGAGTGAACAGAAAAAAGTAGATAAAAGCAAAATGTGCACGCCTAGAAAAGAATGCGACGTCAGCGTCATGCCGCGGTACCGCCCCCGTGCCTTCGTCGCGCCAGAAACTTAAGTGTTTCGGTCGGAAAGACGCAGCGATGGCACGAGTGCGGTACCATGGCACGACGCTGACGTCCCATTCTTTTTAGGCGTGCACATTTTGCTTTTATCTAGTTTTTTCTGTTCACTCCCGTTTTTTTTTTTTTTTTTTATGGGCCGAGCTCCTTGGGGTGTGGGTCTGTCCTTCCTCCGTCGGTGTATCTAGGCCCCCTTGCAAACATCCCACTACACCCCATCACCAATCCACCACTTCAGCGACCATAAAGCCAATACTGTTGAGAAGCAGCCAATATGAAATGCAACATGGGCGTGTACTTGTATTAAGGAACCATAGATTTTCCCACTGTGTCGATCCCTTGTTTCTACGTGATCGCCTATAGTCCACCTTTGCAAACTGCCCATTACTTCATCCTCGCAAACATTTTGCTACGCCTTATCGCCGATCCATAATTTTACCGACCATAAAGCCATTATAATGAAGGGGGAACGGAAGCGACGTACAGCTGCCACCTACCAATAATAAAATTTCTTGTATAAATATATAGTGTTTGTCACGTCTTGATAATGCAGTGGGCTATATTCGCGAATGGTTCCCAGTTTAGCGATAAAACCCTCCAGTGCTTCGCCCTCACTTATCATTATTCACTACGTGGACATGCTGCGATTTTTTTGTCTGTATATATACGTGTGTGATGCTTTCCAACAAATTTTGAAAGAATGCGCTGTGTCCTCTCGTTAGTGTTCGCGCTAAACGCCATTATGACCGGCTTTTTCCAACTCGCCTACAAAGTACCGTTGTGTTGGACTCACTCTTCCACCCAGAGCGGCCCCACCATGGGGATGGCCAGCTGTAGTGCCCGCTTGCGTGTGGAGACGCGGCCCTCGCGGAATACGACGTGAGTCACGGTGGGGCCAAGATGGCGGCGCACCGTGGCACCCAGCCGCGTCATCACGCTTTCGAATGTTGACGAAACATCTTCGGTGCCCACGCGCACTTCGATGAAGGCGCAGACGTCGCGCATCGGCCCGTCAGGGTTGTTTGGCGGCCTCGCCAACAGCTCTCGATACACGGACTCTGGAACGCCCTGCGTCAAGTACAACGACTGAGATGTGAATTTTCTGAGGGACGCGAAAATTTTGTTTCAGGACTTCTTACCGGCCCGGTTCTCGGTGTTCCTGGAGTACTTCGTGTAGAGGCAAATCTCACTTTCTTCGACGGAGGCGTCCGCTCGGACATCGGAGAGTCCATCGCTGACTTGTTGAAACAAGTACGTGCTGCTCACAAGCGAACAACGCGCCCAAAAAGTCTTCAGCTGCGTCACGTATTGGCTGGGCTGTATCAACTGCATCTTCAGCCAATAGGAGGCTTTGTTGCGTGACTTGGCATGGTTGCTAGAATTACGGCTAGATTGGCTATATTTTGTTTGTCATGCACATTGTCACATGCATAAAGAAAGAATAGTCACACGTGGGCCGTAAGTCAATATGTACTTTACTGAAAAAATGTTACAAATTTCTGTAACTTCAATGCAATACAAGTGTGAGAAGTTGATTTTAGATTTTTCTTTCACATAAGGGAAAAACAAAGTCAATTCAAGACCAAACAAGCTGAAGCCACTAGACAACTAGAAGCCATTCCACACCTTTTCCTTCCTCCGTGCCATTCCATTAAAACCGGACAGCTTGCCGAAAACGTGGTGTCCGTAATTTTTCATCATCAGTATGGTAAGTCTTGACTCGTGTATATCTTCTCTAAAGCAAGCATGCTAGCGAAGCAGTACTGAATAGATGTAGGGATATTTTATCTCGTAGATTTCTGCTGTCCAGGACTTGTTTTATGTTCCCGACTAGCTTCTGCGCTGACACACCAAAATGCTTGTCTAAGGGCAGCCTATGTAGTGGCGTAGTTATGATGTACCCTCTTTTAGGCAACTGACTCCATCGTATTTGATCACCGCTGAAGGACTGCACTGCGAAGATTTGTTGCTACTTGAGGGGGGGGGGGGGGGGGTGATTATTACACTGCGAACCACACGAGTGTGGGGTCAATTCATGCCCAATGCGTCCGCAATTTCATGGAGCGAAACACATGTCTAGTCGCTTAGGCCGTAGTTTTTTTTTTTTTCACAGATATTCGAAGACCGTCACCGTGACGGTACCAAACGCAGTCGTGCCGCATGTCAGGTCCTTGTGCTATAATGCAAGCATGAATCGTAGTTGGTCGCTAGCTGCGGCCGGAGCCACGCGTCCGATCGCTCCAGCACGCCCGCGCTTGTCAACGCTTTAACCCCCAAATTAACTTCCGAAAACCGAACCAAAATAGCCAACGTTTAGAAGCTGTCATAACCTCTTCCTTGCAATTTTAATTCTCAAAGTATATTACATCACTGATTTGTGTTTAGAAACAGGAGTAAAAAAAAAAAAAAACCTACTTTACATCAATAGATGTCATGGTAATGAACCATATCGTACTGCCCCGCCGTGATGGTCTATTAACTAAGGTACTCGGCTGCTGACCCGCAGCCGAATCCCGACTGCGGCGGCTGCATGTTTGATGGAGGCGAAAATGCTGTAGGCCCGTGTGCTCAGATTTGGATGCAAGAACCCCAGGTGGTCGAAATTTCTGGAGCCCTCCACTACGGTGTCTCTCATGGTGGTTTTGGGACGTTAAACCCCACAAATCAATCAATCAGAACATACTTAAAGTCAGAAGTATTTACCTAAAGAGACTACTAAAGTCAAATAACTTGCGTCTGAGTGAAAGCACAATTTATGACGTCTAAAACGACAATATTATCAACAGCAGTGCCCTACTTACTGAGAAGTTAAAGTAAACGCAGAAGAATACATGTGTCGCAGTAGGACATTCTCAAAATGATACCGATAACGTCAGATGAACTGCCTGCAATTAATCACTAGTAATTGATATAGCTGCACTAAATAAGGAACCTTCCATGCATCAATGCAATAAAATGCTGCTTGTTTGTTTCTGTTTAATTCATGGAAAAATAGAACCGCTGGACGTTACTATGGGAAATGGCATGGCACGAGTGGTTCAAAAATGTAATTTTCGCGTGGTTACACTGGGCAGGTCATGCCACCTACCAAGGTGCAGTTGAACCAAACATGTCTGCCATGTCGGAGCCATTGGCAGGAAATTGATCGATGGTCGTTGTTGCTGCTGTGGCTCCCAATGCTTTCGTTCTGTCTACTAGTGTTGGCGACTGCGCAGTAAAACCGTTCAACGTTGTGCGTAGCAAGAGTGGTCCGAGTAGGTCCACTTCTTGAGTAGTAATTTGAAGTGTGCTAACCCGATGCGGGCCACTAAAATGTGATTTTATTTCAAAATAAGCTCTTCCTTGGCACTAAAATAACACTATGAGGTCTCTGGACCGCTTTTAAACAATGAACGGCGACTTAATAAAGTGTTTTGCTAGAGCCTACCGGTCTCTAGCAACAATGTGCGTTCACCAGAAAATCATCCCTGAAAACTTCGGGTTTAGCTGTTCTTGCGTGGTTTTAGCATTTGTTGCTGGCCACGGTTGCTTGTGTTTAGATGGTATATGCACATAAAATTATTCCTGTAAAGCGCTGGCAACTCGAGCACGGCTGTGTCAAGGCAGAATGCAGTCTACATGCCTGAATTAATTTTATATGCTAGTTAAAACGTTGTTTTCTGACCGAGGACGATAGAAAGAGCGCCTGCATTGCAGGGATAATGTAAAAAAACTGGATTCCCACTAATCGTACGTAGGTCTGTTCTGCCCACTTCATCAAAGGCAATGTGAAGCTCAGCGCAGGCTAATGGCACTGAGGCGATACTCAGACGTTAGACTAGTCGAAGGCCCCCAGTTATCGAGAACACACCAGTTTCTGTCCTTTTCTACCCGTGGCAAACAAGTGTACTGGCGCCTGAAATGGGTAGCAAAACGTGAAAGCTAACACTGAAAAGTCATTGCAAAGCTGTTCATTTTATAGTTTGAGCGATATCAATGATGTGTACTGTTCTACACAACACAAGACACAAAGTAGCCGCGTTTAACATGAATCGCTGCACAACATGTACGTCGTGATGTCCACGTTTTGTTGTCGTTGCATTAGTTTTTCTTTAAGTGATGCCGTTGAGTGGGCTCCCATCTGTATGAGCAAATATGACTCATCGCCTGTATTTCTGTTGCTAATGAACATCGCCGCATTCAAGCTAATTTATATTTTGGGTTTGAACATAGACTGTATATTTAGGTAGGTTCGACTTAAAGGTTTGGTTCACGAATAGCTTACTCACTAGTAAACCATAATTGTTCGTATGACCCTGCAGTCACAGTTCTTATCGCATCAGTACAATTTATAATTTCTCAATCACACGAACACGTCAGATTGCGAGCGATTCTGATCGCCATTGATCTCTTTAAAAAGTGCGGTGTGACACAGATGCATAAGTAAGCATTTTGTCCTGAGGTTGTGTGCTCAGACGAAAGCTGAATTGAACAAATTCACTTTGAATTGAGCAACTCTTCTCCTGCATGTCGACAGTGTGAGTGCGCTTTGAATACGCGGACAGGGAAAAAACAGGTGTGCGCTGTTAATTTCCCGTCTGACTTTAAAGCGCATCCACATCGTCGGCGTGCATGCAGAACCAACTGGCTCAATGAAGTTCTCTGACAAATGTCTCCGACATTTTATGTATTTTCTGTTTGTATAGGCGCGACCACTCTCGGGGTAGGCCACACGGAGCAGGGGGCCGCGCCCGTCGGACACGCGAGCTGTGCGCTACGTCAAGCCCTTTAATGTAGCCGCTAGACGTTGCTCCAAACACATCCTAAGAAATGCTCGAGAAATAATAGAGCAGCGAAGTCAAACACCACAAAAACACTGCCGGGACCTTGAAAAAGCATTGCCGGAAGTGCCGCACCAGAAGTCTGCTGGGGTAGGCCGTTCGGTGAGAGTCCAGTTTGTTTACGGACACCAAAACCGTCTATACTTGCCTTTAGTGTTGCTTTAATTCAGTGCACAGTAACACGCTGTAAGATGCCCAGACGTTCGTCTTAACATAAGCTGTCATGATTGCTTGTCGCTCACTGTGTGGTAGATTTTGAAGCATATGCTTATGCTTCCACACACAGCCTCGTCGTCGTGTGAAGCAATACCCCGGCCCAAACTACGTCCAAGTTGCTTTCTGGTGCAAATTCCATGTCTTCACTAATGCTGCTTTCTGTGCTCCTTCAAGGTTCTTCTTGTGAAGCAACATTATGAAATGACTGTTGCCAGGCTTAGAACACGCATGAAATACATGAGAAGGAACACACACAGTACTGCTAAGTGCTTCTAGTGTTCTAGTGATGGTAAATCTATCTTACCGTGAACCAACTTGACCAATTAGCAGTTTTATGAAATGCAGTTTCAAGTACACAAGTACCATCATCTAGAATTGAAAATTACAAGCTAAGCAATTCCAGTCGTGACACGTCTTTGGCGGCAGAAAAAGCCAGACGAGTGTGACACATTGGCAGTATTAGTACAAACTTGTGCGATGAGTACAGCTCGGGGGTTGGTGGTTGAAGGGTTCAATAGCCCCACATGATCAGCATTTTTCTGTATTTCACTACTGGTGTCGGCAATATTATGCTGTTCTTGGACTGGACTTAGTTTTGAATTGTTTCAATTGCAGAAGCCACTCATGCTGCATGGCCACGAGAGGGCAATCACGCAAATCAAGTATAATCGTGAGGGAGACCTGCTGTTCTCCTGTGCCAAGGATCACTCACCCAATGTGTACTACTCGCTCAACGGGGAGCGCCTGGGCAACTTTCTTGGCCATGCCGGTGCCGTCTGGTGCATTGATGTCAACTGTATCCTTGAACAACTTTCGTTTCACTATGTTCATGGCACTGAGGAGTGACATCTTGGACGGAGGAGGATTTCTCAAAATTACCAGAGAGAATTCTGGTGCTGCGATCGTTCAGCCACCATGGAAATGATGTGTAGTACACATATTTGCCTAGTCTTCCTGCTTGCGACTTCAAATGTACCAGTGGCTTCGTTTATTATTGTTGCATTTGGCGGGAATAAAAAAATGGATCATTGTAAACCTCGCAAAAAAACTTGAATTGGTGAACCTAAAAAGTAAAGGTAGTGAATTGGAACTGCTGAACATTTTCTCATTTTCGTCTCGTGACAAAGTGGCTGCAGGCCACGCGGAGCCAAACAGAGTTTAGACAGAGCAAGTTTATGCAAATTCCGTGTACTACCCACCATTCCCATGTTGGCTGAAGTGCCATGCGTTTCAACTCTTGAAGGCACTAGCGCCAGAGTTTCCTCTAATGTATTCTTAGAAAACTCTATGTTGCACGGAAGTTAGCCATCGAAGCAACTAGTGCGACTTTGTGCCCGACAAGAAAGAAAGCACAGTGTATGAAACATTGTGTTATGTTGTAATTGAGCTTAACACACAATCGCCACCGACAGCAAGAAATTATATGCAGTGTGAAAGCTGAAAATTGAGCTCACTAGCTGTCCCATTGTTTTCAGGCGATCGTCATGGCATTCATATGACCGAATGAGCACCATAATTGTACAGCACGTTCAAAAACCCCAGATAGTGTAAAATATCCAGAGCCCTTCACTGTGGCATCCCTCATAGCCTAAGTTTTTCTTGGGGATGTTGACCCCATAAACTACCCTATTTACTGGCGCAATGAACGCACTTACATAATAAACGCACCCCAACTTTAGTCATCAAAATTTGTATTTGTTTCCCCCCCCCCCCCCCCCCCCGCGTAATAAATGCACACCCTACATTCATCCGCTGCATTCCCGCTACGACACCTGGCACCTCCTCACCCATTGGATTTCTTCCGTTTTTTATTACTTTGCCAACCTCCCTCAACCATCTTGACTGGCTCGCTCCCTTTGTCCCCCTTCTCCCCTTGTCGCGTGCCTATTGCTTTTCTTTCTCTCTGCCGCACCAGCGTTGCGAGCGCAAAGACATCACAGCTGATAAGCGCACAGCGAGCGAAGGTCACCAAACTGCCCGCGCCAACCGAAGTTGGTCGCTTCCTGCAACCCCCTCCATTTTTTAGCCTACTTTCTTTTTTCTTCTCTTTAACTGTCCCTTAATTCTCCGTTTCCTCGTGAGTGCAAGCTCTTGGGCGCCCCTCGAGATCAGAAGCAGATACCACTGTCATGGTTAAACGACTGGCAGAAAAGGTAGCTGCAAAGCATTTTTATGGCGTGCGCGGGTGGTCCTGGGACAGCTTGCAGAATATAGTGCCATCAACCACCGAAATGAGTGAAGTGCAACAAAGAAGCTGTTTCCAAACAGTGTACGCATGTAAATTGCAAAAGGCTAAGCGACCTAACTTTTTTTTTTTTGCATTACCACATTTTTTTTTTCTCCCGAAAAAGTTTTCATAAATTTAACCCACGTAACAAACGCACCCCCCCAACTTGGCTCCAATTTTTCGAGATAAAAAAGTGCGTTCATTATGCGAGTAAATGCGGTAAACCACCAACCATAATTACTTCTCAGTCGATCACTCAGGATTGCTTTAGTTAGTTAAGGTTAATCATTCTTTCTAGTTAAACAGACAGGGTGTGCAAACACAGAAACAACAGGGAAGTCAACACACCACTAATACTGTGGTGTCTTGGTTTTTTCTTGTATAGTGTTTGGACGTCCTTTGAAGGGACAGTAAAGTGAAACAATGGCTTGGTTTAGATCTGTGAGCTGCTCTGTGGAAACTCTGTTATAAGTTAGCGCAGAAAATCAAGCTTCGAGTTTCAGTTTTAAGTTTTGTGACATGGGCTCAATGAAATTTCCTGAAACTTGGTATTATGTTAGGTCTATAGCAGCCACAAATAACAGTGTATTTTTACCGATTAGATACTACGTAGCACCCAGTAGACGCTGTCACGGTGCCGGAAGGTGGCGTCTCCGCACGGAAAATATTTTTTTTTCTTTACTGTCCCTACCATCTAGCTCAGCTCTCTGTTATTCTTAGATTCTTTTTAGCTTTGTTATCTGGCAAGACCACATGAGCGTTTTTCTGAAACTATTTTCTGTTGAGTCGGCCTTCATAGAAGATCCCTAAAATGCATAGTGTAGACATTTGGAAGTACAGGGCAGTCACGTTTGCAGGCTTGTTAGCAGCTTTGCAATCGCTGTGCATCAGCAGCTTTTTCTGTTCATGTGTGCATGCATGTCAGTAATGTGCCTATCATCGTATGCAGTAATACCTCATTAACTCAAACTCGCATATCTCGAAAAATTGGCTAAGTCGAAATTTTTTGGGGCACCAAACATTTTTCTGTATGTCCCATGTTTATTTTCCTTTTTACCTCGAAGTATTTTTGGGTCTGATTATGGATAACTCAAAATTTTAAATGGGAGTGGAACGAAAATTCCACTGCCGGACCATTTCACAAGATTCGCGCGATGCTGCCGCTCCTGAAGTCCGCCAATTTTTTGTCTTATTCAGCCGCGCCTGCCACTACATCGATGCTTTCCGCGAACACGAAGTCTCAGCCCAGTGACATATCAACTTCGTCTAGCAAGCTTGTGGCACGTCATGTGACACGTGCTGAGCAGGGAGGCCCTCTGCCCACGCTTGGCGTAGTTTGTCTCGTTCGCTTTGTGCAGTGCACATGATTCTCTCTGAGGTGTGATTTCGTTAATCTGCGCAAACCGAGTGGTAAGGATTTTTCGTTCACTGTGAGGAGCGGCAAGCATGGTGTCGAAGCAGTGCAAGTCGCTAGTGTTCGAAAAAAGGTTGCCCTAGTTGAGGAAGTGGGTGAAGGAGGCCGAACGAAATCATGCATCGCGCAGGAGTCCCTTTGTCTACGCTTTCGGCTGTGCTGTATGAATTTCAGCAGAGACATTGGGAAGAGGTGATCAAGCTTACAGGTAACAATGCCGCCGAAAATGATGTGACTTTTCTGGAGTATGCGCTGTGTGAGCAGCATGTGGCTAACGTAGGCGAAGACGACGGCAATGACTGACTGAGATGAGAAATTTGCTGCGCTTGTTTCAAAATAAGGTTGAGTGCAGTGGCGGGGAAGATCAGCATATGCGATGAATCAAGCAGCTGGAGAACGTCTTCCTAAGCCCGAGTACGACCGCAAAGCAGACGAGCACTAGGCAGTTTTTCTCTGCTAAATAAAATGGCAGTGCCGCAAAACCAAGCCGTTTATAGTATGCTGTATGTTACTTTTTTCTCTTTTAAACCTGCACGAGAAGATTAGAAACTGCCGCATAGGAGCAGGTATAGTAGTGATTTTTCTGAAAAGCACTCATTTTTTCCCAACAATTAGCGCATCTTTGCTTATCTCAAAATTGTCCCTGGTTTTTGAGAATTGGAGTTAACGAGGTATTACTGTAGTAAAGTTCTTCAAACCCTACTGCGTGGTTTCCTCAGCTCCTAGTAGGGGACTCCACAAAGGTAATCTCAGGTGCTGGTGACAACACTTGCCGCGTGTGGGACTTGGAGAGAGGTAAAAATGATGCTTGTTTACAAGAATGCTTGTGAAATATCATTTGCAGCAAGTTAATTTGCTGGTGTGACTGGTGTCCTTTATATTATTTCCAAAAACAATCAATTTACCTCTGGTGTCCTGACAAGTGTCTCTTTGCAAATGCCTTATGACCCACCAACCACCTTAGTGAAACAAGCTTGAAAATTTTGTCTATGAAAGTATTGAGCTGAGAGTTACATTTATGTGTGTGTATACATCTGTGTTGGGCTCTATATGCTGAAGACTAAGGTAAAGTTCCGAGACCCAGGGTGAAAATGAAATTGACAACTCCACCCTAGAGTCTGTACAAGAGTATGTATATCTGGGTCAGTTCTTAGTTTTATAAGGTAATTTGGTTTGTGAGGCAATGAAATATCAGCCACTGCGGTGTTGTATGGGCCCAGCTGCTGACCTGAAGGCTTCGGACTCGATCCTGGCTGTCGCTTATAATAGAAATGCTATATGTACTTAAGGGGGCAGACCACTCCTAGACATTTTTCGTTTATTTCTTCAGTGATCTTGATCAAACTGCACAGAATTGTGCAGTTTTTTCTGCTGATTTCAAATGTTTAATTAGTTTTTCTGTAACTCATCTTATTCCTGAGATAACTAAAGTTCACCCCCTATTGTTTAACACCACCATAGAAAAAAAAGAGTGCTTAATTAAAAGTGTTATTTAAAATATCCTAACTTAGACTAACGACTATAGATTGAAATAATGCAAGTTTTTTGTTTTTAAGCCTTTATCATTTTACAGCAAAATGAACGATCCATTTTCAGAAGCAGTTGGAATTGTGCTAAAATTTTGATGAGTAAATAATTAAAGAGGCTTGTTCTCTAAGTTCTGCTCCCATACTTACACCCTACACACATACAGGTTTCCATCGCAAAAAGAATTATTGTTGCACCTGCGTCAGCTGCAGAGATATTGAAGCCTCAAAATTGAACAGTTGTAAATTTACTTTTTTTGAGAAAAATGGAAATAACTGAAAACACACAGCTTCTTCAAAAAGCAACAATCATGGTGTGCATGTTTAGCAATCTTCATAAAAGTGCTCATAATTCGTAGCAGAGCTTCTAACACAGGTGCCGACAAATTACAAAAAGGCCTTGAAGTTGGTTCCTCCTTTTTTTTGCAGGTTCTGCATGTTAACAGCACCAAGACTCTGGACAGTTAGAATCACATTACAAAAATTTATCACTTCCTGGTGTGCAAAAATTTGCAGAGAGATAGCTAAATACTTGCAGACACCAACTATGTCAATTTTAAAAAATGATTTTTTTTGTCACTTTTTGGTCCCAAAGAGCAGTCTGCCCCCTTAAACCCAGGTGCACATTAAAGTAGGAGTGCGTGATTAATCAAACTTTGGAACATGTTTTGAATGGTGTTCACTATTTGATTAGGTTTGAAGTTTTACTATTAGAATTTGGCAAATACTGTTAACGTCTGATTAACAGTGGTGCCTTCAGATTTTTATATATGCTTCACCCCATTACACTATTGCATTGTGGCGAAGCTGTTTTTCAGTTTATGCTGCCGCAGACATTGCGGAATCAGGGTGGCGATGAAGCATATATAAACATCCTGGAAGAAATCTACAGGGGATCAACTGCTACCATAGCGCTTCATAAAGAAAGCAACAGGATACCAATCAAGAAGGGTGTAAGGGAGGGGGACACAATCTCTCCAATGCTATTCACCGCGTGCTTACAGGAGGTTTTCAGAAGCCTAGAATGGGAACAGTTAGGGATAAGAGTTAATGGAGAGTACCTTAGTAACCTGCGCTTCGCCAATGACATTGCATTGCTGAGTAACTCAGGGGACGAATCGCAACTCATGATTATGGAGTTAGACAAGGAGATCAGAAAGGTGGGTCTTAAAATGAATCTGCAGAAAACGAAAGTAATGTACAACAACCTCGGAAAAGAGCAGCACTTCGAGATAGGTAATAGTGCACTTCAAGTTGTAAAAGACTATGTCTACTTAGGGCAGGTCATAACCACAGAGCCGAACCACGAGATTGAAGTAACTAGAAGAATAAGAATTGGGTGGAGCACATTTGGCAAGCACTCTCGAATTATGACAGGTAGATTGCCACTATCCCTCAAGAGGAAGGTATATAACAGCTGTATCTTGCCGGTACTTAGCTACGAAGCAGAAACCTGGAGACTTACAAAGAGGGTTCAGCTTAAATTGAGGACGTCGCAGCGAGCAATGGAAAGAAAAATGGTAGGTGTAACCTTAAGAGACAAGAAGAAAGCAGAGTGGATTAGGGAACAAACGGGGGTTAAGGATATCACAGCTGAAATGAAGAAGAAATGGACATGGGCCGAGCATGTAGCACGTAGACAGGATAACCGCTGGTCATTAAGGGTAACTAACTGGATTTCCAGAGAAGGCAAGCGGGTTAGGGGGAGACAGAAGGTTAGGTGGGCAGATGAGATTATGAAGTTTGCGGGTATAAATTGGCAGCAGCAAGCACAGGACCGGGTTAACTGGCGGAACATGGGAGAGGCCTTTGTCCTGCAGTGGACGTAGTCAGGCTGATGATGATGATGATGATGATGAGCAAATGTATTGACCCAAGAAAACACCGCTTCCAACATAAAAATGCATTGTGCCATTACAGTGGCCCCTTCATCCTTTAATACACAACTTATCATTCTGGTATTGCAGCAAAGCTGCCTTTAGGACTCCGCTACAGCAGTAAATGGATATACTCACGAAAACGTTTATTCAAACCTACGCCGCAGAGGTGGGGACTCTAATTAATGCCATTTTCAGCATCCCAAGTTTTCTACGTTTTCATACATTGGCATCTACAGCAGACTGCGAATTCGATGGAAGCACACCCTTGTCCTCTACAGAAGTTGGAGGGGTGGTGGCGTCTTTTTCTTTCATGTGAAACTGTTGTGACACCACATTGGTTTCACCAAATACTAAGTACAATTCAGTCTCTGCAGTGCCTCATCCTTGATTAAACAACTAGGGCCCTCCAGCACTTCACCAACCTAGCCTCTGCAACTCTTTTTCTGTAATTTTGCTTCAAAATATTCGAAGGATAATAAACAAATATGTGATGACTATTTGAAAAAGTTAGGTTCAATTTGCACTTGGTATTCGAATTGGCTTCACTACGAAAATTTTGTTATTCGCACAGCTCTACATCGAAAAACTCCAGATGGCAAAAATATTTGGGGCCCTCTATTGCAACATGCCTCTTAAACGTATTGTGGTTTTGGCATTTGACAAACCAGCATGCATGTTCTCGAAGTGTTGTTGGTGACATTGTTGTAGTGATTAATATGTAAAGATAGTCACCTTTTTATTGGCTTCCTGGACTGTATAATAATGCAGCTACTTTTACGCACAGGAGTGAACATCAACACAATTGACACAGCAACGGCAGTGAGGACATGCATGTTCTCGTTCAGTGGCCGCATGTTAATGTACAGCACAGACAAGGCCATGGGACGTTTCTGCGAGATACACATTGTCGACATGGCTGACCGACGACAGATGGGTGAGTGTATCCAGAAAATGTTCTCTGCTTATTATAGTTGCACAAGGTGCAACACAGCAGTTGTAATTTCAATTATACTTGCACCCTAATGTCATTATCATTTGTAAAAAGCTTTGTAATGCTGGTTTTATCTGAGAGATGACTTGGCAGCATACAAAATTATTATTGTTGAGGTGCTCGGTACTAAGCTCGCTTCAGGGATTATATGTCCCAACCGATCAAAATGCCATATGAAGTTCTGAATTCCAGTTGCATTGGACTTTGCCAGAGCTACATATTTCTTTTGGTCTCTTACATGCTTTTTTTTTTTCTCTAGAACACTTTGCTTGGTTAGAATTAGCCTTTTGATGCCTTGGCATAACAACAAAAATGGTGGGATATTTGGACCCACCAATAAAGTAGTGTGTGAAATTTTATGTTGTATAGATATATATTTTTTGGTTGGAATGAATAGCCAGTCACCCACTTATGATGGCTGAAAATGTCATCTGCTTGAGCATACGATAGCTAACTTTATGGAGGTGCTTTTATAGCTCCTATTTCCAGTTTCAGTTTTGCAGGGAGGCAGAACTGAGTGTGGTTTGTTGGTAAACACAGCCAGTCTTGCGAGGCCATGAAACAGACGCATTTGCCATGCACAGCATTGCGGGAGAGAGTGCACACGTCTGGTTGATTTTTGAAACTCCAACAAAGTGTAGGCACTCTACTTTGCATGTGTTTACATGCATTTCCCCCTCCATCGAATTCTGATGTGTTTTACAATGACAAATAATGAAAATAGGTGTTTTTTCAAGACCCCCCACCCCTTGAAAAAGATTCCTGGCAACGGGCCTGAACCCCCTAGTATATAAAGCCTAATAACAACCTAGCTAAACAACCTAGAAGCAAACAGATTCGTCTTCAGAATTGTCACGTTTCATTGTTTCGAGGTTTGTGTGGTTTAGTGCAAGGTCTGTCTTTTTATTTTCAGGAAATGTCCACACAATGTATTTCACAAGCTGTCTAGTATTGAAAACTTTGTTTTGGGACTACTTTATTGAACTCCCATATGAAATCCCGAGGTTTTCCTCCGTGCTTTGATGCAGAGGGCCAAGACTCGGCCATGGTGATTCCAGTGAACCAGAGCAAAGTGACCAGTGCCCTGTGGTGGCACTATGACGACGGCATCCTGTCTGCCCATGAGGATGGCACACTGGCCACCTGGGACATCAAATCGGGCATGCAGCTGAACCAGGTCAAGGGCCACAGTCTGACCATCAATGACCTGCAGTATTCCAAGGACCAGAGCTTCTTCATCACGGCCTCCAAGGACACCACCTCCAAGGCAAGTGCCTACAAGAGCTGTTATCAATCGGCAACACGATTGACTGCACTTAGCAATACAAGGAAGTGCTAATTCAGTTTAAGGCAGATTGTTCTTTCAAAGAGGAACTGAAGGTTAGACATTTCAAAGGCCATGGTTTCGTTTAACTTTTTCATTACCATTCTTATTCAAATCGATCACCTGTGATCTACACTTTGGATCGTTGATTTTAGTATGTTAAATTTGTTTATCGACGTCTAGCCACTCAACCTTCAGCATCAATTTGAATTTGCCCCTTTTGCCGACATAGTGGTTTTTGACAGATCTTTGCTTGAACCAATGTGCATATATTGTTGGACAACTCCACTAGGCTGGCAAACTTGGCAAAAGTGCATGCCCTTTGTGATTATTCTGCAGCAACATCGAAGTTCTGTGATGAAAAAACCATTTGCAAGGAAAATATTAAATTAAAATGTCAGCTTCGCAATTTGATAGTGTTTAGCAGTAATAATTACCAGAAATTACTGGCAGTTATTCAATAGACAGCTGTTGCTAAAAGTCGGGAGAAATGTATCTTACAAAAAACATTCCCGATAGTCTGCCTCATGTTTGAAGTGTCACGATGGCCTTTTCAGCCACTTTCCAGCAGCTTTGGTTTTGCTTGTATCGATATATCAGACACAGGTTCGCATATAAGGTCACTAGTCGCTCATATGGCGTAGTCGCCACAGGCGCACGGGTGCACACCAGCACCGCAAAACACATGCGCCACTCGAAATTGTCTTGTAACCTCACCAGAATTAAGTGAGGACGAGCTTAGAGTTCGAGGATGACAGCACCTCAGCCTCAAATTTTATGGAGACGATATTTTGCGTCAGGCTGAGACATCCACGGCCGTTTATGAGTTCTTTGTTTGTTTATTTGTTTGTTTACGGCTTCAAGTTGTCTCCTCCGCCGCAAGCGTGTAGCTGCTGAGTATTGTGCACATTCTTATAGCTACTCTGATTACGTGCAAGGTCCACACTTTGCTGGGGCGCGGTGTGCTGGCGCCGGCTGTAGGCCTTTTCCTAACGACTAGAAGGTTCCCAAAGCACATCTTGGCCATGGCTACGAAGCACCACGAAAAGTTTTAGAACTGCACGTGATGTTGTTCTTTTTGTAATACGATGTATAAAATGCTAAGAAATATGTCTGGATGCATGTATAGGAATGCCAACCTCAATGAAATGAGGTGGCTCATGGAAAGAGATGACTCTAGATGAAATGGCGAAGTCCATTTGACAACTGATAAATAGAGGGATTATTCATATGATGGGCATCCATCTATATTACACCACCTTGAAACTCTTATGCCAAGAAATAAAAAAATTTACTGAGAAATGTGTACGAGTTCACTTGCGTCTCACGAAAAACCAGGCACTGCTTCACTGCGTGGCTTGAGCAACCAAGCAGGACCTTGCTTGATGTTGCTTAATCTGTTTCTGGGTCATTTTTCTACAAAATGTATATTCTGAATTTGTTTTGTTTTAAATATTTTGGCACGTATAGTGTTTTTTATTTCACTGTTTATTGGCTGGCAACCAAAACTTACGCACTTTTCACATTTTTATATACTTTTGCGGCTCTACAAAATATATTTTTAAAAATAGCATATCGTTGCTCAAAATTTGGTATGCTTCAATGCATGCTGAAGTACTTTATGAACTGGCAAAAGTGATCTTCTCAGGACTTTTGAAAAATAACCATTTTCGTGCGATAATGAAAGAGTTGAGCAGTAGTTCTGTTGAAGAGATTTTCGTTTACTGATAGTCTTTTGTACAGTCATTCTCAGATGATGTGCCATGTGTTAAAGTTTTTGTGGCTCTTGCCTGCAGCTGTTTGATGCGGACACTCTTGAGCACCTCAAAACTTACAAGACTGAGCGACCGGTCAACTCTGCTGCCATCTCTCCCATCAGAGAGCACGTAAGTTTGGTGTCATTCCTTCATTAGTAGAAGAACACAGACCTTATAGCACATTTTTATCAACCTCGATGCTGAAAACTTGCGATTACCGTATTTATTTTCATAATGAACTTACATTTTTTTTTTTTTTTTTTCAGAAAAGTTGACACCAATTCGAGGAGAGGGTTTATTACGCAAGAGAAAAAAAAGTCACGGGAGTTATAACAGCGAAAATTTTGCATTTCCATATTGCTTGTTGTGGCCCACAAAATGCGCGACAAATTTTTTTGTAGCTCAAAGCTCTTGTTTTCTCCCGTAATGAACGCGCATGGATCAACGCCGAGGTGTCGTACAGCCGCTTTGTTTTCATGCTCCAGTGCATGCTCGACCAACTTTCAAGTTTAAAACCAGCCATGTAGCTTGCGTACCGGCCGATCGCACCCTGTGCAGCAGCTGTTTCCTACTAAGTTCACTACGACAAATTGACAACGCAGCGTCTGATGGCGGCGTGCTGTCAATGCGGTGGGCGTTTTGCATAGCCTGCCAGATGGCAGGCGCGTAATGTTTTGGAGACCCACCTTCTCGAAGGCCATGCACTTTTTTTTTCTTGCTTTCTTTTCGTGTCATTGTGCTTGCATGGTGCTATAAGCAAAGAGGTTTCTCCTACATTCGACAGGTGGCACTCTGCCACAAAAGTAAAATTTTATTGATGTCATTCGTGTTTGTGTGTGCTGCTCACAACTGTATAGCATAATTGCGAAACTATGCTTTGACTTTTGTGGCATCATTATTTTGTCAGTGCAGTGGGCGCTTTGCATGGGCGCGAGATGGCGGGCGCATAGTGTGTTGGAGGCACGCTGTCTCGGAGGCCATTCATTTGTTTTTTGCTTTTTTATCATGCCGCTGTGCTTGCGTAGTGCTATAAGCAAAAAGGTTTCTCCTGCATTGGACAGGTGGTGCTCTGCCGCAAAGTCGTGACTTTTAAATTTTGATTGATGTCGTCCGGATTCGCACTGCTCGCAACTATTTAGCATGGTTGCGAGACCATGCTTTGACTTTTGTTGTGTCGTTATTTTGTGATATAATTGCTTGATTTAACATTGTTTCAATCGTCCATGGCACTTGCTATTACACAGAAATAAAATTAACAGATACATTAAAAATTTGTTTTTCTTTTTTTCAAAGACCAGGGGGGGGGGGTTCATTATGCGAGTAAATACGGCGTATTAACCAGATTTTTTTTCTTCTAAAAAACAGGGCGCGCGAACAATGACACAAAAAAGAAGTGGGCGTCTGTGGTGTTCTGACTTCTTTCTTGTCTGTTTACATGCAAACTTGCTCGGCTCTCCAGTATTTTAAGCCAATTTTCTTGCCCCTTACCATTTGTGTTCTTGGTGCACTGCATACACTATCATTTGATTAGGTAATTCAAGAGTGATCAATAAAATGATAATAATTGTGCAGTACAGTTGAACCTTGGTGTCACAATTGGGACAGTTGGCATGAAGCGACCCATGAACAAATATGCTGGAGGTCGCGTGCAGTATTTTATGTAATTGGCTTGACGGTTCTGCAAGCATATTTCATGTAGCATTCAGTCGGTACCTTTCAGCTGCCTCATTCAGATTGTGAATGGATCCTGCCACGGTTGTCTAGTGGCTAAGGCACTCGGCTGCTGAACGCAGGTTGTGGGATTAAATCCTGGCTCTGGCGGCCGCATTTTTGATGGAAGCGCAAAAATGCTTGGGGCCCGGGCTTAGATTTAGGCGCACGTTAAAGAACCCCAAATGTTTGGAATTTCCGGAGCCCTTCACTACAGTGTCTTTCATAATCATGTGGTGGTTTTAAGGTGTTAAACCCCAACAATTACTTTTATCAGATTGTGAATGAAAGGGCTTTTTCTTGGGAGACTGGCATTTCGCTCCCAACACGATATTCACCCACTGCGGTGGTTACGGTGCTCGACTGCTGACCCGTGATGGTTTGGGGCTGTTAAACTCCATCAATTATTACTAATTATCACCAACATGTGATGTCAGATGATGCTTTTTTCTTCCGGCAGGTGGTGCTTGGGGGTGGTCAGGAGGCTATGGATGTGACAACATCATCCGTCAAGGCTGGAAAGTTCGACGCCCGTTTCTTCCACCTCATCTTCGAGGAAGAGTTTGGCCGCGTCAAGGATCACTTCGGTCCTATCAACAGTGTTGCATTCCACCCCGATGGCAAGAGGTGCGCTTGACATTTATTTTCATCTAGCCGGCCTGTTTTTAGATAAATCTAGATATCAGCTAGTGTCTTTCTTTTTATATTTACACTAGACTCTCGATACCGTATATTGCCGAATATAAGACGACCCCCCCAACTTTTGACCTCGAAATCGGGGAAAAAAAAATCTGCAAGTAAACTATTTTAGAAAATTGACCACATTGACAAAACGAAAGATTTATTGCCAGCAAACTGCAACTTTAAGCCTTCATGTGGCAGTTGTGATCGCGCACTTCACAAAAGTTTAGCGCGCCATGCTGTCTGGCAGCTCGTACGAAGCGTCGGACATGCCCCGTTGGCATTTGGGGCTTGTCGTCCTGGTCCATCCAGTCTTTGTAAAGGGCCGCCACCCGGTCCTTAAATGGCATGTTGAGTGCCACGTCGAGCGGCTGTAGCACAGGGATCAAGCCACCCGGGATTATCGCCAACTGGCAATCTGCGTTGGCCATGGTTTTCTTCACGTGTTCCGTGATGTGCCCTTGGAACGAGTTCAGCACAAACATGCTTTTGGGCCTGAGAAGACTTCCCGGGTGCCGGAGCCAGACGAGGCGGAACCATTCCAGCCGAGTCTCCTTCGTGAAAAAGCCCTTCTTATTGTCGTGAACAATTACTTTAGTGGGGAATTTCTCCTTGGGCATCATCTTCTGCTTGAAAACGATGAAAGGTAGCAGCTTGTGGCCGTCAATGGTGCAGCACAGCATTACCGTAAAACGGTTGTGCTCATTGCCAGTAGCCATCAGGCACACTTGCCTCTCACCTTTTGCTGACACAGTTCGTTTGCTTGGCATATCAAACTAGACATAGATCAACGTTGCCGATGTGGCCAAGTGTGTAGGCTTGCTCCGCCTTCCGTTCACTGACGAAGTTCAAGAAGGCTTTTTTTTTCTTTTCGTCATATTCTTCCAGTGGCTTTTGACAAATAGTTGTGCGCCGCCTTAGGCTGAGCCTGTGACGATTCATGAAATTAGTCACCCATTTCTTAGATTTTTTTGTTTGCTTGTTTATTAATACTGTTGACCCTACAAGGGTTGTTAAAGGAATGGATGAGCGATACACTCAATAAAAAACATTCACGCGACCTTGATGAAGGGTGCTGCACACTACAAAGATAGTCTAAGAACGAAAAGAAGACAAAATGAAAATCGCAAATGCACTTGAATCGTACACAGTGTGGCATTAATGATTAGTGTTCAAGAACGCTGAATGACTTGAATAGGTAAGTGTATGGAGCTCATTTAGAAATGCAGCAAGGGAAGAAGAGGAAACCAGCGAATCAGGCAGCATGTTCCATTCTTTAATTACTCGAGGAAAATAGCTATACTTAAAGGGAGTCGACTCGCGTCGGTGGAGCTTCAATATACATACTGTGTCTGTGCCTGAAACCATTAATCTTAATCTTATTATGGAGAATCAGGAAATGGAATTTTGATCTTTCCACTGCTGTCCTTTTTTTTAAGGCAGGAAAGTTTGCATTTTGGCACAGTTCCATAGGGAAGTAGCAACGACGATATTTGTTAAATATTCATCTAGCTGCAAGGTGTTGGACTCGATCCAATTCGCGTCAATTTGTTGCCGTGTGAGGGTCCCAAACTTTTTTAGCATGTTCTATAATGGGGCGTATTAGAGTAGTATATGCCAAGTTTTTAATTTGAGAAGTTCCACTACGCAGGTTGCGTCTCAGACTCCATAGAGCTCTTCTGGTTTTTTTGGTTACCATATCTATGTGGGTGTTTCACCTAATATCATCAGTGATATCAACTAATATCATTTTAAATTCGCTGCGGGTGATTTCCAATTTATTCACAACATATCAAGCCTTCTCTTGAATGTCCTCGTAAGACACGCTCAGGCCTTTCTGCCCCTTTTTGCCGACCGCGGTCTCTCGTGTATAAAATGCTTTCCAAGTCACTTTCACTGCACTGAATGCATGTCAGTTGGGAAAATGTACTAAGATTGGGAAGGGGCTGCCATCTGTCCTGGTGCACAGCACATTTCGTCCCTTGCTTATCCATGTATGCTGGATAATCATGAGTAGCAATATGATCGCTGGCACCTAAAATCTTTTACTGACAATCAATCAAAGCTATGTATGAGGTTGCTGCGGTCCTGAGAAACAGTAAAGAATAACTCTTCCCTACTGATGATTCAAACAAAATTCAGGGCTCCCCTTGAAGGGAAGAGGAACACAGGCCTTAGAAGGTTGAAAATCGCAGAATAATGGACTTTCTGAAGCTGACATTTTTGGAATCTGTACCTATTTTTACACTTATCTGAGAAGTTTCTTTATCGCGTCATAGTTTCTGGCGCAAAATCAATTTGTAACACTCTTGTGAGATGAATGTGAGCGCAAAGAGGCTCTAAAATTGCGCTTTTTCCGCGTTGAACCGTTGCCGGTACACACGAGCTATCTTGGTCATCTTGGTCTCGTTTGGAAGGGTCGTTCTTCATCTTCAATTTCTTGCCACTGCTTGTTCACCTTGCTCATTAATTTTTCAGCAAAACCGTGTCATAGAGAAGCACCAGTGTGCGATTCTATTGGCTGCTTGTGGCAGGTGACAAAAACTAAGCATCCTATTGGCCAAGTGGCATTTCCGGCGTCTGTTTCACCATTGTGACGCGCATGGACATGCGCCATTTTGTCGTGATGCTGTCGACTGCCTGCTGCAGTAAAGAAGTTCGCGCCACACTAATTAGTGAAGTGGGTGTGGCGACCGTTCGCCGTGAACTTCAGGAAGAGCCTCGCTATGGCTCAGGACAACGAGGATAATGAACTCGCGGCGGTCAACGGCGGTTGCCGAGACGCCTGTGTAGGCCTAGCTCACGTACAAGCCCGTCAGTTGCCGACAACATCACTGTAAGCGGCCATGTTTTGCAGCCTCATCAGTTAAGAGGACGGCAAGTAAAAAGCAGAAGTGAAGGTACGAGAGATATCAGTCTTTGCAGCGACGGAATGGAAGTGCAGTATTATCGCTAAACGCGCTGATGCCGCCGTTCCCCTGCGCCTAACGAAATGACCTCACTTGTGCATGAACCTTGTGACGGGTCGTCAGAGAAGAGTACGCAGCACATCGACAAACAACAGAAAATGAATCTCTTCCCGGTGAACGAGCTCGCCGTTTGCAAAAGAGGCTACCGGCAACAGGTAGACTGCTTTTAACATGTTCGCAACGATGTTGCGGTCTTCACTCGAAAATGTGACAGTCTTACGTGAAAAGGAAACTAACACCTCGGCACTCATGTAGCCTCAAATCTGATGAGCAAGTGCACAAGTTCGGCTCACCACATTTACGTGTAACTTATTCTGGACAAGCCAGAAAGCATCGCTGTGTCATTCGACGGATCGCAGGTGACGCTTGCACATTCGTCGCACATCTGCGTCAGTACTGTCTCCGAACTGATGAGCGGCCTTGTCAGCAGACGAGCACACGGTGGCAACTTGTAGCAAGACTTGAAGAAACGACACGCTCATGCAAAAAATTAGTCTTATTACATGCCCGGTGCATATTAACTGACTAAAAGTATGTGTGCCATATTTTTCAGTTGAAACGGCGAAATAAAGTTTTAACAGTATTTTTTTCGAAACACAGATTTTGACTTTTCTTGTTTGCTTATTCTGTAAAAGTGGACCTAGGATAGCTAGAGCAGTAATCATTTTTGCACAATGCAAAAAACAATGCTGAGAGCCAATTTTGTTTTTTCTGCACACTTAGCTGCATTGTGCAAAAATGGTTACAGCTCTAGCTATCCTAGGTCCACTTTTAAATTTTTTTTATTTTAGTATAACAGCTTTTGTTCTTGGTTACATGCAATGAACTTTATTGTGCTGTAATTCGAGAATTATTTGTCCAGTTTTCGATCAGCTTGCAGCGTTGCACTTCTTAGGCTTTCTAGTACCAATATATATGTGAATGACTGTGTAATTCTAGGTACATGCATTTTTACAGTTAAAAAAAGTTAGAATTTCTATTTTCTTGATTTTCTCAAAATGGCAATTTTGTACACTCTGCATGACCATTCCTGCAATATATTGGAAACCATTACAGATAGCAGAAGGATTCTTTTGGCAGCATGAAGCTATATGTTTGCAGCACACAACATAGGAAACAGATTTTAATTTCTCTTGATGCAAGTTTTTAAAATTAGGCTTTTGTGTGACCACACCATGGCTACATTCAGAGCTATGAATTTTAGTGTACTGTAATGTAAGAAATAATGACCCAATCAAAGAAGTGCTTCCTATGTTGTGTCTCTTATGCTTTCTACTGTTAATCCCTATGTCATTTATAAACTTTTAACTGGTGGTTATTTTTTATTGTGGCAAAGAACAATAGAAATGGTTATCTTAATTATTTGATGAACTAATGAAGCTATAGAAAAAATAATTACATTTTTAAAATCAGGAGAACAAACTAAGTAAACATGCCAACTCTTATCATATTCAGTTCAAAAATAGATTAGCTATTCTATAGACGCATGTCCCCCCTCAAGGACTCCTCCCTCAGTCCCTCCTTTTTCTCTCTCCCTCTGGAGAGTGCATGCAGTCTGAGCAATTTTTACCAGAGTGGTCAAGCGTTTGCAGGCTGCTATCGCATGCCATCAACTTAGCTTGTGAATTTTTGATGACCTTTGTACATTTCTGAATCTATTTAACACATGAATTATATTTCCACGGTCAATAAACAGCTTTTGTCCAACTTCATGACTTTGGTGCCTGCATACTACATAATGAGAGATTGACGACAGCACTTCTGTTTTTTTTCCATTGCAGCTACAGCAGTGGTGGTGAAGATGGTTACGTTCGAGTCCACTACTTTGATCCATCTTACTTCGAATTTCAAGTTGAGGTCTAAATTGTGCCCAATAAAAAAATGTATCACCTGTGCATTTGTTGTGTTTCAATGTGCCATTGTGTGCCAAATTGAAGTGTGCTGGCACCATAATGGCCAAACTGTCAACCACTTTTCATTATAGCAACTGCTTTTAGCTCCAAGAAACACACCGACCATTAGAGAGGATGACAGGACAGAGCACCTGTTGCAGTAAGAAGTTCTCTTAAGCTATAGATCAGTGTTGATGCCTTGCAGTCCAAAATAAGGCTTAGTACATAGTATCTTCCTATCAACTGATGTGTTGCTTTGCATCCTTGCTTTTTTGGGTATTGCTTAAATGCGCAGAGCTGTTTTCGGATGTGTAGAGTTCTAACAGTAATAGAATTTATTATTGTAAAGTGCCCACTGCGAAGTTCCAGCGTATTTTGTTATCCAGCCACCTGTTTTGCTGCATGTATCGCAACTAATGGAAGCAAAATTACTTTGGTAAAACTTTTGATTGCCAACTTTTTTTTTCTTGCTCCTTGGCAGCTCTTAAACTTTTGCAGCTCTGAAACCCTCGCATGAAAAAAAAAAAGCATTGTTTTTGCATTTTGGGGGGAGGGTAAGGCTTACGAAGAGAGAAAAGGAGCGATCGGCTTGCTGAGTGAAGTGAAAGTGTGTTTTTTTTTTTTTTTTTTTTTTTTCAGTTCAATGCGAAGTTTTGTGTAGGCCACATCACAGGGCCCGAATATTTAGAGGGACGCCGAGGTAAATCATGATCAGTTATTCAATTGTTTGTAACCTGACATTTGCTAATATCATAGTCGGGTCATATTTTACTAGAGGAAATGAACCTCATAGATCCGTTTTATGAACTTTGTGAAGGTATCTTCAGAGATGTTATTCTGGACATTGTCGAATTCCGCCATGTTGTCAGATTCCGCCATTGATTGATGCTAATTGGTCAAGTGAGCTGCTACGACCTCTCTGATTAGCTTAAAATGCCGCCATTACGAAATATGACAATATGGCAGAATTATTGTTCCACAGATCCCCAGGTATCTTGGGCCAGGGCACGCATAAGTGTAATGTCACGTTCTGAAATACTTTTTTGTGTACTTTTTTTCACGTTTGAATCGAATTTCCGCAACGTTTTTCACTCGCCTAGAACAAGGTAATAATGATAATAACCGATAAAAATGACCTGTGTACCTGAAAGTCAAAATATGTGACGTCACGCCAAGCTTATGCGGGAATTTCAAAGTAGGGTTAGGGTAGCCATCACCGGTCACCACCCCAGAGAATACCGAGACCGCCCGCCTTTCGAAACTTCTTGGATCTTTCTGACCCGACAAGCGCATTGGTAGTGTAGAGGTGTTCTGTGATAAGCGTCTTCTTTCAGAAGTAGTGGTGTTTTTTGGTGTTTTAGAAGTATTTATAATGTGAGTGAGTCGTGTGAGCTAGCATCGCTAGCATGTCTTGAAAAGGAGCGCGCGTGACAACGCTACGTGCAGTGGCGGCCACAGTATCGTTCGGTAGATAACGCAAGATGACGGGCTAAGTAGAACTGCACGCAACTATTAAGAAGTGGGTTAGGCTATGTCGCGTTAATGCATCTTGAGGCACTTTTCATTTCGGCTCTCTGGCGTGCGACGCCGGCCTGAACCATAGTCGATTACTCGATGTTTACGGACCGAAAGAGGACCTTCAGCAATCTGCAAAAAGAAAAAAAAAAAGGTTTTGACAACGCGTTGGTGTCTTCGCGTCGTTATCATCATCTTGTCGCGCGACGTTTGATAACGTCGGAGGCCGCACCGACAAGCGCGCGTACCCGTAATCGTCGTGAGGCCGCCGGAAGAAAACGATGCGGGTCCCCGGTTGCCGAGTCATCCTGCGTCGCGGCGGTCTGCTACGCTCGTTCTTCGCGCAACAAGTGCGTCGTGCTAGCAGCGACGAGGTAAGCTGCCCCCTTTGGCGATTGACACGCTAATTAGTGGCGTCCGGTCGCACAGTACGGTGACCCGACTAACTATTTTCCGCGACCTTGGAGCACGCAGTGCACGTGCTTATAGAGCAATGACTCCTGCATAGTTTCAGTTGTTCATTTTAGTTATCGTAATGTTTGTTTAGGCTTACTGCACTTTTGTTGTGGTCACCAAACAGCTTATTATTCGTTCAGTAAAGACCCAGAATGCTGAGTAGCCGTTTCATTGAGGTGTACTACTGACTGCGCGTGTGTTGACTGCTTCAGAATCGGTTGGTAGTATTGTCCCTCGCGCCCGTTAGCTGTCGTATCGCGTATCCTTCCAACCGGTAAATATTATCACTCGCGGAGCGGTACGGCTTTAGCAAATGAGGTTTATTTTCCCCTTCTGTCTATCAAAACAAATGTATTCTTAGTGCTGTGCGCTTGAATAATGCGTGCAGTTAAAAGTAAAACGTTCTTCACCGGCAACTGTATTTCACACACCACTAAGAAATGCTGCCCCGCAGTTCAACAGTACCCGAGGCATCTGTAGGCTGTTTTCTGGAACATACACGTTCCGCTTGTTTGTGCATCACAGGCTCTGCAGCGGACGGCATTGTACGACTTCCACGTGAAACATGGCGGCAAAATGGTTCCATTCGCGGGCTACTCCATGCCCGTGCAGTACAGCAACCTGAGCCTCACTGCCTCGCATCTGCACACGCGGCGCCATGCAAGCCTGTTTGACGTCTCGCACATGCTGCAGAGCAAAGTGCACGGACCGGACAGGGTGCGCTTCGTCGAATCTCTCGTCGTCTCCGACATTGAAGGTGCACAATTTCTTGCTCACCTCTTGGAAAGGATCCATACGCAGTACCGCAGTATGTGTGTGTTTTTAACGGAAAAAAGATGCATCACAGTGCCCCACATCTCCAAGTTCACTGTGGCAACAAAAGCAAAATGAAATTTCAAGGCTAATCAGAGAAGACTTATGTTATACATTAACGAGAACTTACAGACGATGATGCCAAGGAAAGCACAGGGAATGTTATTAGTAGTAATTGTACTATAAATATGAAGAAAAAAATGTGGATGAAGAGATAGCTTGCTCCTGGCCAGGACTGAACCTGAGACTTCCAGATAACGCGTCTCTACCAACTGAGCTACAGCTACGGTCACCCCCCTGTCCACTTCACATTTAGATTACAGTTACTATTTATAACATCCCCTATACTTTCTTTGGCAATTCTAATTAATAATGTGTCAAATGAAGAAAGCAAGTCCTTAAATTTCCACTTCTTTCCTTCATTGGGAAAAAAAAAGTATGCATAGAGAAATATTACTACGGCTGTACTTAACAGATTATATTAAAAATAGAATTATTACTGAGAGTACGTATATTTTCACTCATAATTTTGAAATTATTAAGGTACAATAGCATCAAAGAGCTTATTTCACGATGGTTCTAGCATGGACTTCTGTGTCAGGGTCGTTGGTTTTCAGTAAAAAATCATCTTGTGTGTGGTCGAATAATCGAGAAAGATGCAAATAAACAATAAAAAATTACGGGTGTGAGTGAGGATCGAACCTTGGTCATTTTAGGGGCAAGCAGATGTTCTACCACACAGCCATGCTTCTTAGAAACACAGTTGAAATAAGTTCCTCTGTTTGGGAACGCAGTGAAAATAATGTTAATTCTGTACAAAAACACGCATCCATGTATACGGGCTTCACATTATTACATCAAAGATTGCAGTGATATTGCATGGTACAAGTGTACATCGCCATAGGGTGTCACACCATGCGATTATCGTTTATACGATTTAATGGTTTAAAGCTGGTCACCCATTAAAGATGGCACACATGTTACTGTGTGTATTCCCTTATTAATACCACGTACCAGTGCGTGCATAGCAAGTTTGAAAAAGTTTCACGGGCATATTTGCTTGTGGTTTTAAAGCATGCTACTCATTACGCAGAATGCAGCCATATGCGAAAGCTTCAATCACATCAGTCACTATCAACTTTATCGATTACATTATGATCCACAATTTAAACTCCTCAAGTAAAATCATGCTATAAAAAATATGCACTTAGTGGTTGAAGTATGCACTAGAGACCGGATATCCCTGTCACATTCAACTCTTAAAGGTTAAGATTTAGGGTCCCCCAATTTTCGGTGTATTTGTCAAGCAAAACCGCAGTGCCTCAAAACCATAGTGCATGACCTTGTAATGTACTGATTGTCAGACCATTTAATTAGAAGTGCAGAAAAATGTAATTATAGGTTAGTGAGACTGCATAACTTCAAATTTTTACGATATAAAATTTGAAGTAGTAAACTTGGATGAGACTGAAAACAATTGCAGTAGACCCTCAGTAAAGAGAAAGCTGTTTAATGGAACTGCTGCTTAAATGGAACAACTGCCTTTGATATGATAGGTTTCAGACTTGCACTTTATATCCCTCTTCATCTCAGAAAATAAAACTGTTAAATAAAACATTTTCAGTCTCTACAGGTTCAATTTAATGAGTTTACTGTATAATTAACCATAAATGTGCCTGCAAGTGGGGGGGCTAAGTCATCTGCGGGAAGTCAGCCCTTTTCTATTTGGACCTGTCTTGTCCTTGTTTGAAGTGTAGGCTATGCAGGTGTTTGATGATACTGACAGTGCAGGATTCCTTTACTCCCACTAAGCCGGGGACCAAGGGCAGGCCATTTTAGGAAGCATGTTGTTTCTTCATTTTGAACCTATTGCAAAATGTTTTGATTCGACCAACATGGGAGGGGGCAGCAGTAAAAATTGGCTGTCTAATGATAAGATGTCCTGTGCATGCCTAGCGCTGTTGTTTTTTGTGGGCTTAGGAGAATTTCTCGGTGGCATATAGATAGGGTGATCATTTGACTTGTAAAACTTTGAATGCTCTTGTCCTATGTTCCACCAGAGATACAGAAATTTTGAAAGAAGTTCGGCATTATATATTGTTGCGAATGTGTTTACTACTTTAGAGTAGAAAAATGGTCCAGCAGTCAAGATAGCAGTCGTTGTGTATTTTTGAACACCAAACACGTCATCGTCCTCTTCTTCGTGCCACCCCGCATAGAGATTGCCGCAACTAGCTGCAACCTCGAAGCATCCGCCTCCGCCGGCAAAAGCGCCGACCCGGCGCTTGTTAGCAAGTGTTGCACGAGAGGTACGGCTTCAGGCGAGCGACGTGGACAATGTCAAAAGATGTGGAGGGTATCGTAGAGTATAAAGGGGCTATATCATAGGTAACATCAGTTACCTGCTTTAGCACACGGTAAGGTACGGAACACTTGGGTAGAAGCTTTTTGGCGCGGCAAACATGCCGCGATGGAGTCCACAGAAGAACGATGTCACCCAGATAAAAGTGGACGTTCCGATGGTGGCTGTCATAGCTATGTTTTTGGCGGAGCTATGAGTCCAAAAGGCGTCGATGAGCAATCTGACAGGCCTTCTTGGCAGTGCTAACAGAGCGGCGAGCATATTCTGTGGGCAGGTCGGCAAGGTTGGGTACAATCTTGTCGAACGGTAATGTCGGGTCTCTTCGTGACAAAAGGTAAAAGGGAGAATATCCAGCAGTGTCGTGACGTGAGCTATTGTAAGCGAAAGTGACAAAGGGTAGCGCAATGTCCCAGTCGCCATGATCTGTCCACACGTACATGGCGAGCATGTCAGTGAGTGTACGATTCAAACGTTCTGTGAGGCGGTTAGTTTAAGGATGATAGGCGGTCGTAAGCTTGTGCTAGGTTGCACAAGAACGAAGTACCTTAGATACCTTAGATAAAAAGTACTGACTGCGGTCGGTGACCAGTTGACGAAGAGCGCTGGGATGTAAGATGACGCCCTGGATCAAAAAGTCAGCGAGGTCTGTAGTGGAGCTGCTTGGAAGAGGTCTCGTAATGGCAAAACGGGTCGAATAATCTGTAGCGGCGACCTACCTGTTACCGTTATTAGAAAGTGAGAAAGGGCCCAGCAGGTCAAGGCCAACACGATAGAAAGGCTCGGCAGGTATGTCGATCGGTTGGAGGAGCCCGGCGGGTTTTACAGCTGGTCTTTTGTGGCGTTGGTACGTCTCGCAAGAAGCAACGTATCGTTGTACAGAATGGTAGAGGCCAGGCCAGAAAAATCGTTGGCGGAAACAGTCGTACGCTCTAGCAAAACCAAGGTGGCCAGCCATTGGTACATCATGTAGTTGCTGAAGTACGGTTGAGTGCAGATGAGTCGTTACTACGAGTAGTAGTTCCTGTCCCACTGAGTGCATGTTGCAGCGGTATAGGATGCCGTCCATGACGACGAACATTCGAAGCGAACTGTCTGTAGAGCCTGTGTTCAGGCGGTCAATTAGAACTTGTAGGGACGCGTCACGCCGTTGCTCACATCCCATGTTCCCGAGAGCGTAGAGCGAGGAAATACAGATGGATGCAACCATGCAATAATATTTAATTATTACACCACTTAGGGCTGTATTAGTGGGTGACAGGCTTGCCGGAACGAAAGGAGAGTTTTGGCCTAATCGTAAACTTTGGCTATTGATAGAGGTGTGAAAAATCAAAATGGCATCAGCACAGTGAAAAGGAGGGCCATTGTAAGGTTTTCACACGTTTCACTAATAATGGCAAAATAGATACTGATGTTGAACAAGGCTTTACATATGTGCCGCCCTCATCAGACGCCAACAGAGTATTGGATGGGTGTTTGGGAAGGGCTGAATGTGGTCTACAAGATTGTTTTCAATTCTGAAGCTGCACAGTTTAGTTTTCTAAGCATTGAACAGCGATCAAAGAGTACAAGAGGAGCATTGCAGAAGATTGAAATTGGCTACATTTGCGATTGCAGTGAGCTATTGTCTTCCCAATGTTAGTTATGAAAAAGTGAGGTACACATGTTGGGAGTGTTTTGCATAAATATGACAATTGTGAATAAGCTGATTAGACCATTTAGCAAGACACAATACTTGTCACTCATTCTTAGGATAGCGTGAAAGAGCAGAACTCTGGCAGGAGCAACTGCAGCATGTGCAGGGGAAAGTCCGTGTAACACTTTAATTCTTGCAATCTTTTTATTGTTCATTGTTGTAGTATGTCCACAATAAAAGAGGGAAGAAAAAGTCAATTTAATGGCTTCTATGATGCCCTAGGAAAGTTCATTGACTACTATGATGCACTAGGAAATAAAAGTTCTGGCTGCTACTTTTGTTTTACAGTGCTGCTACTGCATTAATTTGACGAGATATGTTACAGTGGTTGTGTGTTAAATCTTTGCTGACATTGCAGGCTTGGCAGAAGATTTAGGTACGCTCACCGTGTACACGAACGAGAAAGGTGGCATCATTGACGACCTCATAGTGAACAAGACCAAGGATTGGCTGTACGTTGTCTCAAATGCTGGGTGCAGAGACAAAGACTTGGCTCATGTCAAGGTGCGTGTCCAACCTACAGTTGCCCTGCAAGTTTGACGTGTCAGCTTCTATTGTGCGTAGGTGAAAAGCCTGTGCACTCAGGCTCACAGACATTCTGTTTGACGATGACAGTAAGGTTTTTTTACCTTTTCAAAGCTGTTCATCACTGTAGTGTGTGTATTGCTATATAGGGCTCACATTAAAAGGAGCCCCAATGGAAATGGGCACTATAACATAATCATCACCAGCCTTTGTCATGCTTGCTGCAAGACCTATGTCTCGTGTGAGCTGATTCCATTTTGTGTTCTCAAATTTTATAATTTCATCGCACCACCCAACCCTTTGTCGTTGTCGGCTGTGCTCGTGGTGTCCACACAGTCGATCTAACTGGCGTAATTGAATAAATTTCATCTGCCCAATGGTAGTTACTGTGCACTCATAAATACCCTATAAATGGATTAGGGTGCAACCCTCTTCATAGCTCACTCTGTAGGTGCGTTGGGGCATAATCCAAATGTTCTCTTCGCGACGCGACCTGCCCCGGTCCATTTTTCCTGTTAGTATCAACTTCCGGAATGCACAAAAAACCTGTCCTTATGTAATGGATAGACTGTCTACTACCGTAAAATGCCGAGCATACCGTAATCACCGTGGGTTGGGGTGCTTGCTCAACATTTGCGGTACTACAACAAGGATGGCTTTTAACAGCTGTTTAGCAAATAGTTTTTTGTGACTTGATTGGAGAAAACTATCATCATCTTAACTGACTGAGCAGCCTGCCAGAAAACTATTATAAACGTGTGTGTGCCATAAAAATTGGTCCACGAAGAAGGCAACAGTCGGCCTAACCACAAATGGCCGCCAAGCGACTGTGGCGAGCCAAAGATCTTGAGAAAAGAGTCCGAAGCGATGGAAGGCCTACACTGATGTGCGTGTATTGACTTGAACACGTCAAATAAAAGTTTTATTCTGCTTCTGATTTCGGAAGGTGCTCAGTTTTTCTACTATATTCGCTCCCCACCAGATTATATTTTGTCAAATCCTCGACTTAGTGCTTCTTTTTTGCAGGCAAAGCTGGCAGACTTCCAAGCTGCGGGACATCAGGCCACACTGGAGCTCATGGATTCCTGGTCACTGCTGGCCATTCAAGGTGAACGCAGTTTTCCTTTCAGTACAAAGCATGCCCCAAGCTACGTTCCCGAATCATACCAGTTATGGAACTCCATTGCAAAACCCAGACGTGCTCACGCACGAATTTGCATAGGATACCAAACTGACGCACCACCTTGCCGTGTAAATGGAAAACACGCTGCATTGCGGCCGCCTTCACTTTCATTGTACAAGAATCAGGCAAAGTATTTTGAAAAAATACCAAAGTGCTCTGTGACTGTGGTAGCATTTTCAAAGAGTAAACCATAGTGACAAACCTATGGCTCGCTTTATCAAGCTCGTAGTATTACCACAGAACACCTACCAGTTTAGAGAACGGAAACTGTACCTTTGGGCTGTTGTATCAAAATAACATGCAAATACGTAGCGGCGGCGTAGTGAACTGCAATACCGCGAGGCGAGACGGCGCTAGTAGTACAGTCGCCGACCGATTTTCCGGACTCCAAAAATTCGGACTTATTGGATATTCCGGACTTTATAAATGCACCGTCAGGGATCCCATAGAGCTAATGCATTGTTTCGACCGATTTTTCGGGCGAATTTGCCCCTGAAATTCGATGTTTCGGACTAAATCGCTCGTTTTGTGCCACGCCCCAAGCCATTGTGAACGCCGCCATGTTGGATTTTCTGTCGGCTTGGCTAAGCTTGATCTTCTGATGCTTTTCGTGCCTCCGAGATTGGAATGCGCACGCCATATTTTAAGTTTCGGAGGCCGTGTTTGCTTTTTAAAAGACGCGGTGATGGATGCCGTTTTTTCGTCTTCGGTCAGCACTATCGTCATCACATCGCATGGGGAGTAGGCGAAAGAAGGATTCTCTACCTGTTACAATGACATTTAAAGACTTCACTCGTGCGGACGACGACATTGTTTCGTGCGCGGAGGCCACTGACGACGAAATTCTTCGCCAGGTTGTCCCGGAGCCGGAGAGCGGCTCGGATGACGACAACGACGACCGCCCGCAGCCGTCGGCGGCGGAGATCGCCAACGCGGTGACAATTTTGTCGAGCGTTTATGGCGACGATGTCACCTTGGCGCAAATACGGGCAAACCAAATTGCCTCCAAGCGTAGTTTGAGGCAAGGCAGCATCAAGGACTTTTTTAAACCAGCCTGATGCAATAAACTTCAGATTTTTGGCGAAAACGAATTTTTCGGACTGTTCGATTTTTCGTACTTTTTTTCGGTCCCCGCCAGGTCCGAAAAATCGGTCGGCGACTGTACTATCATCAATAAAACGACGCATTTTTTTTTTGCTGCAGGTGGGGGGTCCGCGGCTGGTTCGCGCTGCTCGCTTCCTTTTTTTTTTCGTTGCTCAATCGCTTTTCACGTCTGTAATTATCGCCAGGGGACCTAGCTGGCCTCGACTGGCAAAAACAACGTCAATCAAGTAAGGTTTGCATCGTTTATTGCGAGTGTCCAAGCCTGTACAATCAATGTATACAGTCGGGTCCGAACAAAACAAGTCACTCATACATATCGAAAGCTTTCAACCCATGTGTAAAGACTCTTGAAAGCTAACAAGCATATGCATATAACTGAACATCGAAATCGCTGAATGAACGTCGCTTTCATTGTGTTGCGGCGCTCAAGTTTAAAAGCGTGGCTTCAGGGCAAGGGTCCGATTATGCCGTCAGATGCGGCGCTTGCCCCGTAGTGTTGATCTTGAAGCGAATTCATGATGTGGAATCTGGAAGGAAACTTGCATATTGCCAATAGATAGCTCGCGCAGCTAGAGCAATGTAGTTTTGCTAAATTTGTTGAACAAGCAACTGCGGATGCGTGCATTTCTGAATCTTTCTCGTTCTGCAATGCTACATTGAGTACTTCACAATTCTGCAATTTCGCGTCGTGTCGAGAGGGTAGGCACTAGTGTTAATACTCAGCCGTGAGCCCATATCATAGGTATTATGTATTTAGAGGGTGGGCCTAAAAATGTTTTAGGCTTGCTACATTTATTGTTAGAGTTAAGTTACACAGTTACCACCGCTAGAATTTCTGGTCGCAGGTCTGCTGAGTATGCAGCGAACATTTATGCTAAAGGGACACTTATGAGGTGTGTGCTTACAGATCAAAAAGGCCCAATTCTAAGAAAATAAGCTTCAGGTATACATTGTACAATTTTGTTGTCTGTACATCTTTGTTGGTACTCTTACATCACATCACACTATCTGCTCATCCCTGAGCACAATCTCTTTTTTTGCATAGACATATCCATAAAACTTGAGTACTCTCTTGCAAGCAAGCACTCCTGAAATCAATTGGTGGTACATGATGTGAATCTGTCCGAATACTGGATCAATAAAGGTCACATTTATTACACACTTGTTATTGTGTTTACTTTTTCAGTATACTTGTGCTTGAAAATGAAGTTGTTTCCTCCCTGCTACTTTTAGAGGTTAGGACTTGAAATACGTACTATGATGCAGTGTGGCTGTAGATAAGTGAAGATCTTGTATGTTTCAACTACCTGTGCGATTTCCTAGATTTTTTTTCATGACCGTAGTGCACAGAATTTCACTTCGTAGTAGTAGACACTATAGTTATGATAACTTAATTTAAACAGAAGCAGATGTGCACAAAGAAATCTGGAACGTTTTTCTGCCAAAAAAAAAAAAACAGTACCACATGCAATGAACACAATCTTGCTCTTCATGACAGCATTCACGTCTTTGAGGAAGCTGTGCTGCAACTGCTAATCAGCTTTATGATTTATTATTTTAGGAGCCCATTGAACATATGTGCAAAGCTAAAGAAATTGAGTGCAGTCGTATGAGCTTTGGTGCATCTTTTTGTAAACTTGTATGAGCTAAACACAGTTAATTAAGACAAAGCAGTTCTGGGTGTTGTTGGTAAACTGTCACAAGGCACAACTAAATGTCGGAAAGCTTGTTAATGCCCATCACTGTGGGTGTGTTCATTATGTAGTGCAATTAATAATTTCCAACAATTCACATGCCAACTATGAAGTGATCGTGAGTCGTACAGTAGCAGGCAAATTAAGTTGATTCTGGCTTCCAGGGGTTCAAACAAATGACAATGTAGGCTCACAGGAGAGAAGACTGCTTGTCGAAACATTTGCTTTCACCCCTTATGTTAACATATTTTTCATATTTTCCAGCTTCCAACTTTTAAGGGTCAGTTTAGTTCACCTGCACTAATCCAAACTGGTTCACAGCTGTGCAAGAGAAGTTCAGAACTTGTGCGGCAGGAGTTCAGCGGTGCGGCACCACAAGTGAATGACAAAGTGCCGACAAGGTGGAATCCTTTTTTTTGTTCGCTTAATTTAATGAGGTGCAAACATCTTGGCAAAACACGTCGCATTTATAGGGGTGGGTACAGCACCTACGTCCAATGCTTGTTTTTTAAGCTGTGCGAGCGGCTGCACCAAACCAGCGTCGTCAGAGCAGAAGGTACAGGAAAGTCATGAAATAGTTTTGGTGCTGTATCTCTCTTACGCTTTTTGAAATGAATGGCAAGATTTAGAAGATGCCATTGATGCGCCACTGAAACGAATGGCGAGGTGTAGCACTTTGTAAAATGGATCATGTGGTGCAGGCAAATCGAACAAACCCTTAAGCACACAAGTGTCTTAGCGTTTCACCCCCATCGAAATATGGCTACAGTGGCTGGGATCAAATGGTGTGTTGTTGAGCTCAGCAGCGCCACACAATCTAACTAATAGTGTTACAGTTTCAACATTATTGAAGTGTAGATTCCCTGCCACGGTAGGCAGGCAATGCTTGTAGCCAATCTAAAGCACCTCTCCACGATATGCGCGGTAAAACATTCACAAATACAGCATTACATGTGTGAGGTTAGAGATGACCCGTTGTAGTGGACATTCAGATGTTTCAACGTGCTTGCAGAGTGGACATTCGGGGGTAGTCATCCTGTCATTGCATGGCAGTCTGGAAAAACAAGTAACATCACCAGACATCAATGCATGAAATCAATGCATAATCAATGCATGAAATTTTACAAAGTAAACAAATAAACTCAGTTAATTAGTAAGCAGCAGTATTTTATACATATATGTAGTGTTACCTCAAAACACGTATATCACTCAGGGCTGCCTCTTCACAAGGCATGTCATGTAGCAGGTTCCTTGCCCATTGTTCACATTTGCTTCCATGTCAGGTGGGCCAGGAGGCTGTGGCAGAAAAAAAAGTATTTCTGATTTATGTTACGCTTCTTTTGTCACACTATAGCAAAACCAGAACCATAATTATGTGATGCTTCTCAAATGCGACTGCAGTAAACTATTAACTAGTAGGCTTTTTGCACTAATATACGGGCTAGCTAAGAAGACACATGCGAGGCGACAGTGATTTATTTGCCTTCTTTTATCGCAACGGCCTGGTTGGTGTTACCTGGTGATAGAATTTCAGAATTAATTATTGAGTCAGCGACTCGTTCCCACGTGAAGCCATGCACGCCGCAAGTAACGCACGTTTTTCCGATTACAGATTGAGATGTTCAACAATTCTAAAATTTAATACTGCAATGCGCTGCCACCATGTGGCGCCTACGCAGTCATTGGCAAAAGAAAAACTGCATATGTTGAAATGAACCAACTAGCCCCGCAAGCAACCATCCTTAAAGAACTGGAGTGGTTTCTACTCACCGGCCCGGGCTTGCAACGGGTGTTCATCCGATGAAAGCTTCAATGGTCACTTCGTTCCCCGAAAGTCATTCGAATTCCCTTCGCGAAAGCATTTGAACGAGTCAAAATAAACAGAATGAGAAAGAATGTGTCGGTCGGCAGAGGCTCGAAATATTTACAGCGAAACGAAACAGTCCGAGACACATCCGAACGTACCGCGAGCCGTTACCTGCCGTCGCAACCGTTGGCCGCCGCAAACTTTGAATAGAGGATAATGATGTCGATAGGCTGCTACTGACATCGAGTCAGCTGGAGCAAAAACTATTACAAAAAGTTGATGACGCAGCACATTTTTAAGAAAAACTACTTCCTAGAAGAACAAAATGTTTTTATGTGTAGCAGTACGTAAACATGTAGTATTTGATCATTTTAAAATAAAACTTGGCCCCGACGAAGGCGCCTCTACAAAAAAGTGCAATAGCGCGAGTGGCGAGAGAGGTTAGTAGATCCGCTCTGGGTGTTTGAAGCAGAAACGCGCCGTGGTTGATTTTTTCGCCCCCTACAGGTGAGCACTTGAACTTGAGAGTTTCCGCCCCGCGACGGTGGTCTAGTGGCTAAGGTACTCGGCTGCTGACCCGCAGGTCGCGGGTTCAAATCCCGGCTGTGGCGGCTGCATTTCCGATGGAGGCGGAAATGTTGTAGGCCCGTGTACTCAGATTTGGGTGCACGTTAAAGAACCCCAGGTGGTCGAAATTTCCGGAGCCCTCCACTACGGCATCTCTCATAATCATATGGTGGTTTTGGGACGTTAAACCCCACGAATCAATCAATCAACTTGAGAGTTTCCGGGGCCTGGTATTACTGTGACACAAAATGCAAACTAAAAAAATCATTGGATGCACTGAAACACATATCTGCCACAAAAATACTTTATTTCCCCCATATCTATGACAAAACTATTTTTCACTTACTTTGTTATAAACAATAGTTCACTATGTTTATTATATTGAGGTCCGATCGTAGTTGGTTTTCTTGCTTACAGGTGATGCCAAAATCGGCAAACTCCTGTGATAAGTGATGTAGCCTGATTTCTATATGTGTAGCCTAGGGGGAGTTTCGTTACTCATATGATTGAAGAACTTTATGTAAGCCTAGATGGAGCCAGATTGACTTGGACACAGACCTATAGCTGGCTATTTATTGTTTGAAAGGCATGACCAGGTTGCCTGCAGGACAGGGCTAATGGCTCTTACTAATAGCTGATGTTATTGGACATTTGTTCACAGAAGTTGTATTGGCACAGTTGCAGTTAATGACATCACCATGTGTCATTGTGCGGAGCTTACGATGAGGACATTTCACAGCTGAACTTTTTAAAAACCGCAGGTTTGTTTGTTCTGAATGCTTGTACTTTTTTTTAGCCTTGAGTCTAATGCAGGGTGCACTGACACACAACATTGGTTGCGTGCAAACCTCGGAAATTTTCTTTTAAAGAGAGATGAAAAATTTTAATGAAACTTTTGAAATCATATATCGAAATCCTAAATTGCCTCATATTTCAAGGCGTGACTGGCTGCTTTTTCAAGACATAGCTGGTCACAGCGCTTTTACTTACTTTCCTGAGATGTACATGGGAGGTTGGCAGAGACTTATTGCAAGGAGGGGGAAATGTTGTAGGCCCGTGTACTCAGATTTGGGTGGATGTTAAAAAACCCCAGGCGGTCGAAATTTCCGGAGCTCTCCACTACGGCATCTCTCATAATCATATGGTGGTTTTGGGATGTTAAACCCCACATATCAATCAATCAATTCTATCTCATTCCATGTGAAGCATTCTCTTCGTTTATTTTAAGTTTATCGTAAACTAGTGTCACCTTATCTCCGTTACTGCAATTCAGCGCAGATGCCTGCTACAACTTCATCTGAGTTTCAAGAACAGACTTAGAATGATCTTCTGATAAAGATATGGCTGTATTTTTTAGTTTATGACAGTTTCTTAATACCAGCATTTCTTCTGTAAAATCATAGAAGCGCGACCCAATTGTACAAAAGTGATGGGCACAACGCTGGCCCGAGGTCGCTGGCCAACCTGGCCGACGTTTGGCATAGGTTGGCTGCCGAGGTCTGCCCACGTATGGGGATTGACACTGGCCTCACGCTGGCCGATGTTTTGACCACTGACGTAGGGCCGACCTTATTGGCCTACCTGCCCAAGTGCCAGCCTCCGTAGGGCCACGTTCGGCCTGGTGAAAATTAGCACGTGGCCAGCTGTTAGACACTAGGGCATAGCCTGGGGGGGGGAAGCTTCAAACATCTTTTGTTTTTTTAAAATTTGCATGTGTACTGTATTGTATACATCTGCATGCACACCCACAAACCCACACACAAACATACATAAAGTATGATTTTAACCCGCTGCCCCCCTCCCTCCCCCACTAATAAAATTTCAGCTCACTTCAGTAGCAGCCACTATGAACTATAGGAGAATCAATGAAGCTCACGTCACAGGTACATGGATCTAAAACTTTTTTATTTACACCAATTATTTGCACGAACACTAAATTGTGCATGCTCTCTCCGTAATGCCTGCGTGATTGGTCGCCTTCCTTGTCCTAGGTTTCGGCCAACCATTCCTTTGGCATTGCAGGCGTCCTGTATTTATGCACCAACATTATTTACCATGAGACAGCCTGCAAATAAAAGAAAATAGATAAATACAAGAAACGTCACGGTGAGATCAGCCATCAAGGCTTTGAAGCACCACTCTAAGATTTCTTAGGAAAGAAGTTGACTTGCTTCTACGCTAATAAGTACGACCAAAGGTGAATGGTAGTTTAAGAGGCTCATTTCTTTGATGAAACCAATTAAACAAACAGACAATCCAACCCAGCAATACATAGGTGAAGCTATTTAGTTTTTTTAAACAGTAATGTATACATTATTATGTACACTGAAAGGAGCTACATTGGTCGAAAAAATGAGCGCTTTCTGTCAGTATGCTGTACAAACTATAAGCAATGAAACTCCCAATTCAGTGACACAGCATGGCAATATTTTCAGCCTAAAAGTATTAGAAGCAGCTTTATAGCATGCAAAAAGGCAAAGTGATCACTCATTCAAAGGTAGTGTCCAAATTTAGCTTTGCGTGCAGTGTTTCAAGTTTCTCAAACCATGGCATAGCATTGCTATAGCTCGAATAGTGTAGCATATACTCAGATACTGCTACACAAGTACTGTGCTTTTCTTTAGAGCCCCACCCCCACCCACGAGGTTGGTGTCAGGGTGTCGGTAATCAAACTGCAGTTCAATCAAATGCAGTTCTGTATACAGTCAGAGCATTATACTGCCAAGCTTTCACCTCTCATTAACAGCAAAAAAACGAAAGCATGACCGAAATATTGTACTCTTTCTCGTTAACAAAGATTTTGCTATATTCTCTTCTTTAGGCCTTGCACCTCTAAGCCTCACACGATCACTGCACGGGAATGAGTATAAGGGCAGGCGGGAGAGCTTCTTAGGGGGTCACGGATGTTTAACAATGTTCAAAGGACATGACATTGCGCTTTCTCTGTTGTCTTAATGTTCATTTTACGAAGAATCGGGGCATATATACTCACCGATCTTGAAACCACTCTGTTCGCACGTTGTCTCCTATCAAATCAGCCATCCAAGTGGTTGCAGCCGCCACTACTATTCCACAGACGCGTATCTTCATCTAGGCAGTAGTAGTGTGTTTTAAAAATGTGAAAAAAAAAAATTTAACTTATAGTTGTGGAACAATTATGTTACCTTTTATTGCTACACATCCTTGAAATATATGTGTAAGAATTAATTTTTAGCTAGAATATATTGCCCTTTAGACAACCTTCATGCGTCATATCCACTGCAATTATGCCGAAATTAAGATATCACTGCTCATATTTCAAAATAAAATAGAAACGCAGAACAGACGTGTTTCTGCTTACACGACAGGCAAATTTACAAGTGTGATCGCCCGTGCTTGCATTTGTCACCGATCTAAAGAAGAGGTCGGGCCAAAGTAAACCTGTGACATCGGGCCAAGCACACTGGCCGGCCTACTGCCGACCTGGCCAAGTGGCGTTGGGGAATGGTAAATTTACGATGTCGGACCAAGCACGCTGGCCGACCAACTGCTGACCTGGTCAATGGCCAGTCATGGGCCGACCACTTTTTTCGATTGTCTCGCCGACTAAACTGGCCACCGACTGCTTGCCGACCGGTTGCAGACTCTCAACCAACTGTCGGCCACTGGCCATGTCCCCTTGGGAATATAACCGGTCGGTCGTGGTTAGGCTTTCGAAGATCTATGCACACGCTCAACAGATCTCACTTCGATGCCCAACATTTCAGAAAATATCACTCGCTTCACAAGTTCTTTCACCATTTCTGGTTTTTGTTCTGTTCCTTTAAGACCTTAAATAATAATATTGTTTCGGCAGCTTCTATTTTCAAGGTCTTCTATTTTGTTGTGCTTTTCAGTGAACTCCCTGCACATAGCCAATACAGTTGCTTCACATTTTTCTATCTTCTCCTGACATTGTTTTAATGACGTAAGGGTAGCTTAAATCTGAGATAGCCTTAGCTGGACATATTTAAGATTTGGTTCAAGAGTTGTATGTGATGTCTTAAGTTCACTGACGGCCTTTAGTATTTCATCTATTTTGTCAGGACCTGGGTCCTCTTTAACGTCACCACTCAGTTGCAATCACAGAAATGTCGTGCGAACACACCGCCTGTAGCAAAACAACATGTACTGTGGGCTTGGCAGCACAACTACTCCAACGTAACTAGTTTTAGTACATATAACAAAGGACCGTTTGTCACCAACCTGTAAAACGAAGAACACGTAGTTTAGCATGGTGCCCAGAATTGTGCTACCAAGCACAGTGAAACGCGTGCGGGTCATGTTCGGCCTTCTGGCAGTCCGGCTAATGTGCCAGAAGAGGTCACTGGTGCTCAAAAAGGATCCTCCGGACGCGATGTGCAAAGCGTCACATCATGATGGGGTTTGTTCTACCATGCTGATAGCGGTAGCAGCATCATCCCAACTTGCACATGTTGTTGGACACTTGATGACATCGGTGCTGTAGCGGAATGACCACAGCAATCCAGCAGGGAAGCGCATTCATTTCTGTGAAGTCTGAGGCATACCTGTATAACGAAGAGCACTCAGTTTAGCATGGTGCTCTGAACAGTGACACCAAGCCCAGTCCTCATTAATGTGTCTAACAAAGAAAGACGAGCCCTGGAATTCCCTTTTCTTTCATTCTAGAAAGAATGAAGTGTTTGAGGATATTAGTGGTTTAGGACTCCTTCAATGGTGCTCATTGAAGGTGGACTATATCAGTACTGAAAGGCCGTTTCTCAATGTCATGGAAAATGAAAGTTTTGCTCTCTCTCTCTCTCGCTTTCAGGACCGGCAGCAGCCGAACTTTTGCAACCACTTGTTGACTGCACACTGGCATCGCTGCACTTCATGCGAGGTGCCACAGTGACCCTTGCTGGCATTCCCGGCTGCAGGCTCACCCGCTGCGGATACACAGGAGAGGATGGCTTCGAGGTGCGTTCTATGAAGGCATTATACCTGGCGTTTTTCTTTAATTTTTTTAGTCAATATAGATGTCTTAATAAAATTCCATGTCAGTCATGCACCAATAGCTTTACATGTTGTTCTGTGTCGAGGGGAAAATATCATATTTTCTTGCATAATTAACCCACTTGCATAATGAACTCCACCTTGGTCCTGTAAAAAAAATAAAAAAAAACATTTTAATATATTTTTTCATTTTATTTTTTATAATAGCCAGTGCCCTTGACGATTGAAATAATGTTAAATCAAGTCATTATATTGCAATGTAATGATGCAATAAAAGTCAAAGCATAGTTTAACAACTATGCTAAATAGTTGCGAGCAGAATGAGCTCCAAAGACGTCGATCAAAATTTAAATGTTGCACCTTTTGCGATTTTGCGGCAGAGCGTCATCTGTCGAATGTAAAAGAAACCTCTTTGCTTATAGCACCACTACGCAAGACAGCGGCAAGAAAACAAATAAAAAAACAAAGCACACGCCTCTGAGTTATTATGCTGACTCTAGAGGAAAAGCTCTCGATAGGGCCCATGCATTAAAACCTATAACCGCTCTTGTGCCACCATAATGAAACAATACTCAGCTTTCGGGTGACGTTCACTCGTACTCTCCACTGCGTGCTGCAATAACAACTGGCATTTTTCTGTTTTCTGTTTCGTGGATCTCTGTTACTTTCCAGTAAAAGACTGTCACATGAAGTCGAGTTTTTGGCTCACGGCAACAAAAAACACGGACGCCGAGGTACTGTATTTGACTCACCCGGCGCACATGCAAGTTGGCACAATCAGCTGAACGCTGCACCGCTAGTTCTTAAAAAGATGGTGGCGCCATCTACTGAAAAAACCTGCAAACACTTCTTTCTGTGCTCAGTAAATTGCATAAAGTGCCATCGTATCTTTCCTAAAAATAGTTTATATAAATGTTCTACAATTCTCTTTCATTTATAATACGTGAACATCATTGTTTATGATGTGTGCTACAAAAATTTGAGTGTTTTAAACGCCTAAATGAAGCGCTTCTCTAAAGCATTGTGATGGCTACAACGAAAAATGTTCCAAAATGTCAGCACTTTGGTGGTTATAGCTTTTCTGGCCAAGCTTTTCCTCTTTAGAGTCAGTAAATTACCTCAATGGCAGCTTAGAAATACGCCACATACCCGCCATCTCGGAGGCCATGCAAAGTGCAACCGCATCGATGGCGCGTCATGCACCCGCAACGTTTGTGTTCCGCCATCATACGTTGCGTTTTTATTGTCGGGTTTGTCATAGCGAACTTAGTTGGGGGACGCCTGCTACGCTAGGCACGTTTGGCTGGTAAGCTATCAACACGGCTGTTCTTAAGCTTAAAATTTGGTTGAGCATGCGCAGGAGCAGGGAGACGGATCGCCTAGACGACACTTTGGCGTCGATCTATGCACGCTCATTGCGAGAGAAAGCAAGAAGAGCTTCGGGCTAAAAAAACGATTCACCGCGCATTTCAAAACCGTCTTGCGAAATTTTTGCTGTTATAATTCCAGTGACTTTTTCTCCCCCACAATGAACCCTCCCCCCAAATTGGCGTCAACTTTTCTGAAAAAAAGAAGGTGGTTTCTTTATGCGAGTAAATACGGCACTGTCGAGGCTTGGCGATTGGCTCACTTGCCATATTTTTATAACAGCATTTTTAGGAACATTAATGTTGACTTTATATAGACAGTGGATATTAGCTGAGCTGCCGACCACATATAATTCATATAATTCAGCCCTTATCAAAGTAGAGAAGGCTTGGTGACTTTAGGAAGCTAAAATTAGTGCAAATCTATGAAGTGATGATGGAGTGAAGCTAGGTCCATAATATCTACGTTGAAGTCTATATAAAGGACAGACAGATAGATGCACAGATGGATGCATGGATGGACGGACAGATGCAAGGACAGACAGACAGGTGGTCGGATGGATGAACAAACGGGCTGACAGATGCATGGACAGAGTATGGTCTATTTTAAACTTATATGTAACACCTGCGTTTCGGTCCAACAGGAAGCTACGACAACAGCGTCAATGGACATCATGGGAGCTGAGGAGCTTCGTTATAAAGGGACACTAAAGGAAAGAACAATTTTGTGTCAGAGTGAAAGCTGAATGTATGAGGTCTCAAGCAGCAATATTATCAACAGCAGTGCCTTACAAAGAAATAAGGCTAAATCTGTCACACAATGTGCGCCATGAGTGGGGAATTTCCTAAATGATCCCGGTGGCATGAGAGCGTCTGACTACAATTAATCACTAGTAATGAAACTAGCCACAAAAAATTAAGAACTTTCCGTGTATCCAGAGATGTAATAAAAGGTTGCTTGTCTGTTGCTGTTCATTTATAGAAAAAATGAAGTGCCTAGCGTTACTATGGGGAATGGCGTGAGTGGTTCAAAAATTCAGTTTTCATTTGGTTAGGCTGGATAAGTGGTGCCATCTAGCGGGGCCCAGTTGAACCAAGCAAGCAGAACCATAGTTTCCGAGATGGCAGAAAATTGTTCAATGGCTGTTGTTGCTACAGTGGCTCCCGCTACTTTCGCTCTGCTGCTACTGGTCTAGGCGGCTGCGTAATAAAGACGGGCAACGTCGGGCATGGAAACGGTGACGTTTTAAGAGTCCACTTTCATGCAGGTGATTTGAAGTACGCTGACGCGATGCAGACCATTAAATTGTGATATTATTTTAAAATAAGCACTTCCTTGGCACAAAAGCAGCACTACGAGGTTTCTCGACCGCTATTTCGTCTACTTAATATTTGCCTTTAGTGTCTCTCAAAGAAGTAGAGCTGTGTAAATAGCAAAATTTTAGGTGAAAAGCGACTTCGAATATTGAAGCGTGAGTGCAAATTGAATCAAATATTTTTTAAATATTTCTGAAATATTTTCAGAAAATTTTTGGAATACTTCAAAGTGAAATTGCAGAAAAAAAAGTGGGGGAGCATTCCTAAGCTTATTCTTATGAGATACATAGCAACAGAAAAGTGTTTGTTTTGGCTAGGTTGATGAAACACTGCTGCTGGGGTGGTGTTTCGTAGTTGTCTTATAAAAAATGAGGCCGAATTGCATTTATGTGCATGATTCGGTGCAATGATTGCACCAAAGTGTTGACACAAGAAAGGAAAAGATGCTATTTCCTTAGCCTCTCCTGCTCTTTCATATTCTGTGGAAGCTCAGCTGATGTGGCGGACTAGGGTGCTCCCTTCCAGTCTTGAGTTCCAAATCTGAAATTCAGGATGCTAAAAACTTCCGTTGCCCAATTTTTCAAATTTTCTTGGTCAAATTTCAGGTCTGAAACACCATTCCCCACCTCTGTCATCTGAGTGTTGGAACCAGCGTTTTCTTGCGTTGATACATTTGTGATAGTGGCAGAAGCTTGAAAGGCCGCTTTGCTGCAATATGTTTGTGTAATGGGGTGAAGCATATTAAATGTTTGAAGTGGACACTGTCAATGGAATTTTGACTGTATGTCTTCAGAAAATTCGTGTTGTAAAATTCTGATTCAAATATATTCGAATAGCAAACACTATAAAATAAATATTTCAAAGTTTGATTATTATCTCAGATAGTCAACATGAGGGAAAAAACCTAATGATTGTCCTAATACTACAATAGAGACCCCATAGTGGAGGGCCAGGGAAATTTCAACTATGAGAGGTTCACATCGGAATCTAAGCACACTAGCATTTCGCCTCCATCAAAATGCCACGACTGGGATTTAATCCTGTGTCAGCAGTGTAGCACCATAGCCACTAGATAAATAGAAGCAGTCATTGCTGATCTTACTGCTTGAGCAGATTGTTATTTAGAAAACAGCTGGAGCACTGTTTTACATTACACTCATAGTGACTTCAAACACTTTGCCAAGCACTTAAAAAATTAAAACAGGACAACTGAAAAATAGGAGATGGCTGAGCAACTAAGTTGTAAATTTTCTGGTCTGCTATGATTTTAAAATGACGAAGTGTGGTCATTTATAATTTAACTTTTCTATTTCTAGCGCAATAAGAATGTCCACTGTCTTTGGGAAACAGAAAGTTCTTATTTGGAATGCTGCTCATCTGCATTTTTCAAGCATCTTTGACAAGGACTCTTGACATTGGTCATGGAAACTTGTATAAATGATGTTAATGGCACTTAGAAGACTGTGGGTGCGTAAAAGACCCCTTGAGCTTCTAGCCACACAGCCAACTAATAAAGGGCACCTAGCAGCATCAAGGAACATCTTGCCCTGCAGTTGTCGGTGCCAAGCACAGAAGTGACGGACCTGGCCGAGGAGCTGCTCTCCAGCTCCAAAGGGCAACTGCAGTTGGCTGGCCTTGGAGCTCGCGATTCCCTTCGCATCGAAGCCGGTCTCTGCCTTTACGGTCAAGACATCGATGAGGACACAACACCTGTTGAAGCTGGCCTTGCCTTCACCATTGGTAGGTTTGACAGGAAACGTAGAAAAGGCATCAGCTGTAGAATTGATTTGTTGCTACACATTGCAGTGCTCAATTCTTTTCATTGATAGAGGATGCTAGTTATATTGCATTAATAACCTATGATCTTCATGCTGTTTACATTTTGTGTTGTATTGCAATTTTTATAATCTGCCTCCACTTGAAGAGCGAGAGCCCTTCAGAATGTTAAAATAAATAAAAAATAAATATGCACGCATGCATGTACATTTTTACACCTCAGAAATGTAAGAAAAATGTAATTACTTGTACAGTAAAAGCTTGTTAATTTGAACTTACAGTTAATTCGAGCTGACTCTCTAAACTTGGCACAGCCCTGTGTATTTCTATGGGGGGAAACTTTCGATAATTCGAACAAGTCGGTATCCACGACGATTAATTCGAACTAGGAGCCCCACCCACCCACACACACACCATTTTTGTCGCTCCATACAGAAGTGGGCCCAGAGTGATCACAATGTGTTGCAAACCCAAGCTAAACTGAATCTATTAGAGATACAAAACAATAAAATAGCATTTCTCAGTAGGCCAGGCTTGGAATGCTGTGCTGGAGTTCTGGCAAGCCACAAACAATGCCCATGGGGTTGTGATAGAAGAAATGCAAGCAAATGAATATTGCTTATTGTCGTTGCTGAATTAACCTTATTCTAGTCCAGGGAACAGGCAGGGGAAACCTTGATCACTTTTAATTTTGATTGTGTTAACTGTACCATGTAAATAAAAAGTGTTATGAAGCATCATATATTTCCAGGCTCACTGCTCATATGAATGCGTCTGTTTCTGGCATATCATTGGCTGATAAATTAATTCTTTTCACTGTTGGAAGCTTTTTGAACTTAATCAATGAAATCACCTGCCACAAACGTGTAGTAGCGCCTAGTTCGCGATCTGTTCATGCAGTGTGGTGATGTTTGCGCATTTTAGCGCCCGCCCACATATTTGAACTGCCACTTAATTTGAACTATTTTATAGTCCTTTTCGAGTTCAAATTGATGAGCTTTTACTGTATTGCCATAGTCCTTCAATACTTTTTCTGGTCGTAAAATTTCACCGTCACGCTACGTGGGAGCTCGACATATTGCACAAAGCTGCTGCCATGCAACACCCCTGAAGCTTAGAGGCCACCAACCTTTTCGCAAGTTCATCCCATGGAGACAGCAGCTGGCGTGGGCTGGGCTAAATGTTTGCAGATATTGTGGGGTCTCGAAGTGAAAAGAGTGCCACGCTCGTGGAGTGAACAGATTCAGCAGGCGCGATCGGAACGAACCGAACAACACACATTTATTTCACTATTTTTAGAACGACTATATCGTCAGCCGAATTACTATACATAATTTGTGATCAACACACTATGACATCCTTCCCGTTCCAGCTACAAAGGCACTATCAAAGAGCTGTTGCTATTTGCATGCCAAATGTTCGTAAAGACCTGTTCAAAAAAGATTATCAGCAAGTAAAAGGTCATGTGCTTGGACATTTTCTTTTCCATAAAGTTTGTCACCATTGCTTGAACGACTCCCGTGTAAGTGGAAGCTTGGTCAAAATCACAAAAGTGCAGAAGCAACACAAGGAACAGTAAGGGACGCAGACAAGTGCTTTCAACTAAGCTTTATTGTGAAATCAAAGATATATATCGTTACGGTGAGATGCCTTTATTTACAAGAGATGATGAGTGCGAGAGTCCAGGGAACTGGCAGATGGCCACTCGTACCAACTTCGTTCTCCTCTTCTACCACTCATCCCCTCAATATCATAGCAATTCCCCCTTTGCAGACGATGCTCACTGGGTAAGTTGGGCTTCGTTGCGATAATGAAAGCATTTTAAATGAGCTACATGGAAGACGTTGGTCTTGCTTGAGTGCTGGTCTGTTGACATCAGCCGAGATATCACGTATGTGACATCACTGAGACATTCCAGGACAACAAACGGTCCAGTGTAGTTAGCCAGAAACTTTTGGCAGAGGCCGCACTTGCGAAGTGGCGTCCGAAGCCACACCAAATCTCCTTTCTCAAACACTACAAGCCGGTGACTTCCGTCGTAACCGTTCTTGGAGCGTTTCTGGGAAATGAAAGTTAGAAGACAGGCGATGTGTCGGGTCTCTTCTGCGTGACAAATGGTTTCGGCGAAAGTAGGTTGATCGGTCTCAGAAAAAGGAAGAAAAGTGTCAAGAGCTGTGCGGGGTTGGCGTATGTAGAGCAGATAAAATGGACTGTATCTCGTTTCGTGCTGTGCAGTGTTGTAGGCAAAAGTTATAAATGGCAAGATGGTGCCCCTTTTTTGTGTCCGGAATCAACATACATGGAAATCATGTAGACGAGAGTCCTATTAGTTCGTTCCGTCAAACCATTAGCCTGTGGGTGATACGGGGTAGTGTGACGAAAATGGCACGAAGCAAGACGAAGGAGGTCTTCAACTACATCGGCCACAAATTGCCGCCCGCGATCACTGATGATGACACGGGGGGATCCATGACGTAATATAATGTGCGACATCATGAACTGTGAAACTTGAGTGGCCGTTGCCACAGGTATCGCTGCAGTTTCGGCGTAGCGTGTGAGATGGTGCCACAATAATCCATGGGTTGCCGTTCGTTGATCGCAGAAAAGGGCCGAGCAGGTCAACACCCACGACGTCAAATGGTGAACCCAGAGGGGCTATGGGATGAAGTAGTCTGGCTGGCGGTGTTGTAGGACGCTTGTATCGTTGACATTGCTCACAGCTTGCAACGTATGCAGCCACACTTTTTCACATCTTTGGCCACAATAAGCGTACTTGCGTGAGGTAAAATGTCCTAAAAAAACCATATGGCCAGATGTTGGGTCGTCGTGCATTGCTTGAAGTACGTGTTGTTGCAAACTTGTAGGCACAATTAGAAGTAGATGGGGGCCTATGATGGAATAACTCTTCTTTTAAACAACACAATTCTTTATGACGAAACTGCGTTGATTGTTCATTCTGGAAATAAAGAAAAAAGTGAGACTGTTGTCACTGCGTTGCTCAGCTCGAAAAGTTGTTAGATCAGGAAATGGAGCATCCACTACTGCCAAATATTCATCAAAGTTGTCTGCGTCACACTCGGTTGTAGGAAGGGGAAGCCGTGAAAGGCAATCGGCGTCGGCATGACGTCGACCGCTTTTGTAACAAATTTTAAAGTGGTGTTTTTGCAATTGTAATGCCCAACGAGCAAGACGACCAGATGCGTCCCGTAGTCTAGTGAGCCAATATAAAGAATTGTGGTCCGTGATAATCTAAAATTGGTGTCCGTAAATATAAGGGCGAAACTTGTGCACGACGAATATGACCGCGAGACATTCCTGCTCTGTGACAGTGTAGTTTCGCTCCGGTTTACTTAAACAGCGACTGGCATAAGCAACAATGTGTTCAGTAGCTCCATGGCATTGGACCAGGATGGCGCCGATACCTAGACCGCTGGTGTCGATATGAACTTCTGTGGCAGCAGATGGGTCATAGTGGCGAAGCACAAGCCCTGACGTAAGAACAAAATTGAGCTGCGAAAAAGACGACTCGCATTATGCTTACCACCGAAATGGTGCGTTCTTGTTGATTAGGGAGACGTCAAAGGGTAAGCGAGGTCGACGAACTTAGGCACAGAGCGACAGAAGTACAAGCATAGGCCCAAAAAGCTTCGCAACTCTCGTACAGACTGAGGTTGTTTGAAGCTGCTGACTGCAGCGCCTTCTTGGGGGTCGGGTCAAACGCCATGCTTGTCCATCAGGTGACCGAGAATCAGAGTCTCATGGTTGCCGAAGTGACACTTCTTAGGGTTCAGGGTGAGCTTAGCTCTCTCAAGGCAGGTGAGAACAATGTCTAACGATGGTTGTGCTCATCGAATGTATGGCCAAAAATTATAATGTCATCCAGGTGGCAAAGACAAACTTCCCGCTTTATTCCACGTAATATAGTGTTCATGAAACGCTCAAATGTGGCTGGAGCATTGCATAGGCCAAAAGACATTACATTGAATTGAAATAGACCATCTGGGGTTATGAAGGCCGTTTTCTATTTGTCATTCGGACGCATGGGGTTTGCCAATAGCCAGATCTGAAATCCACGGAGGAGAAGTACGATGCAGAATGCAAACAATCAATGATGTCATCAATCCTGGGAAGTGGGTAGACATCCTTTTTAGTAACAGAGGCGTTTGTAGTCCACACAGAATCGCCATGGTACCATCCTTCTTCCGGACAAGAATCACAGGGGCAGCCCAAGGGCTACACGACTCTTGGATGACCCTTTTCTTTAACATCTTTTCTACCTGTTGAGCAATGACCTTGCACTCTGCAGATGAGACACTGTGTGATTTCTGCCGGATAGGGTGAACGGATCCTGTGTCAATCCCGTGGCGAGTACACGACTCGGGTACACTTATTTCCTCTTATTTCTGCGCAAAGTCAAATATAGTAGCGTGCTTCGCAAGGACTTTGACCAAAGCTTGATGTTTTTCTCATGATAGCGACTTGTTTACCATACTTAGAAAGTTGGCTTCTGTATAGTGTGGTGCATGAATAGGGTCTACGCTCTCGTTGCTTAAAGATGCAATAAAACTTTTCGCATTTTGTTCAAAGAGGGCGAGTTGAAATCTGCAGGGTAGCATGACAGGTTCAGTAGAATAGTTTAATACCCATAAGGTGGATCGCCCATCACTGATGGAAAGAACACAGTGAGGAACGAGCACATTTTTTTTGGCACAATTGAGAGGAACGGGCTCCACAAGAACACCAAACGTGCCGGCGTCCGAGGCAGAGGCGTCAATGCAAACGTTCTACGTCGAGTTGGGCTGCGAGACAACATCCTCATTGACGGTGATAGACCCTTGACAGCACTTCGGATCGTCAGTAAGTGCCGATAGCATTATCTCGCCGGCACCGCAATCTACAGTAGCACTGCACTTGCGTAGAAAATCGATCCCCAGGATTATGTCATGGGTGGAGCTGGCCAAGACATCGAATTCTACCTCGAACATCTTGTCGCCCAAAGTAACACTAACAACACATACAGCGATCGGGCACAGCGTCTCCCCGCTCACTGCACAGAATGTTGTACAACTGTCCCAGCGAAACATCACTTTATGTCATAGCCACAATTTGAAGTTAAGACTCATCACTGTAACAGGTGCTCCATTATCTATCAAAGCCATCATAGGCAGTCCATCAATAAGCACGGGGACCTTATTTTGAGTCATAAAAACAGGCGAAGGCATAGGTGGATGTAGTGAAAAATGTTCGGCGACCTCACCTCCATTGGCCGCACCACCTAGTTTCCCAGAGGTGGGGAGGTGACACATCGACCAGGGGATGGTAAACGGAGCCAGCGTGCTACGGGGGACATGAAGCTTTGCATGAAGGAAGGGAAGTGGTTGCAGAAATTTCGGCGGAAATGGTGTCCCACATGTGTGTCACTGCGAATGGTTTGCTGGTAGCCGTCCCCAACATACGCGTCCCGCGTCGAGCGCATACCACCACTTCAGTTGTTTTGTCGAGAAGAAGCTGACGGTCCCTCGTACTAGCGCTGCTTGGGGCGACGCGTCTGACCGCAGAATCGAGCCACATGTCCACGGAAACCACAGTTAACTCACAGGGGCCTCACGTACGCCGACAAACCTTCCATATGCACGAGGCGCCATGTACCCATGATTGTGCCGCGAAGACACCATTGTAGGTGGTTAGCTAGAGGCGTTCTGGAAACCACGGCGATGATGTAGGTTGTCGGTTGGAGGCACAGGTGCTCTAGATTGGGGCACATCATATAGCGTGGCATCAACGACAGCACGCATTGCCTCGTATGGCAGGGTGGCGCCGCTAGCATGTGCCCTCGGCGGAGTGACAGCATCACGTCGTCCAAGTTCTTCGCGTACGATTTGTCTGATCATTGAGGTAAGATCGCAGAATGATGTTGGAGTGACGTCGACACTTGCAACGGTAGTGACATTGGCAAGTGTACCAAATTCGGGAGTGATGGGCACCTAGTCTTCAGTGTCTTAAACGTGCGGCAGTGTTGGATTACGTCCGCTACAGACGCCAAGGTGTCCTTGCCTATGAGGAAATTGTAGACATCCTCAGCAATCCCTTTGAGGAGATGCCCAACCTTATCATCTTCTTTCATGCGTGGGTCTACAGACTTGCACAATTTCAGAATGTCTTCAATATAAGTTGTGCATGTTTCACCGGGGACTTGAGCACGCTGCATCAAAGTTTGCTCAAAGGGCTTCTTCTTTATCAATGGGTCGCCGAAGCAGCTCGCTATTTACTTCTCAAAAGCTTCCCCAGTCGTTATTGTTTCTTCGTGGTTTTCAAACCACACCAACGCCATCCCTTGAAGAAACAATTCGACGTTGGTCACCCGGGAGGCCCCATCCTAATAATTGTATTTACTCACACGATTAAAGTGCTTCAGCCATTAATCGACATCTTCTCCGACCCTCCCAGAGAAGCTTCGTGGTACCATGTGTAGGGGCCACGTAGCGCAAGACGAAGTGTGCGTGGTGTCGCCGTCAGCAATCGGATCCATAGAGAGTGGTGGTAAACCGGCCAGTCGGCGGCTTCCGCGTAGTTCTTGAGGTAGCACTTCTGTAATCGTTCGCCTGGGATCGCTCTGCTCTACCCCGCACCTCCACCAATCTTGTTACGGTGAGATGCTTTTATTTACAAGAGATGATAAATGCGAGAGTCCAGGGATCTAACAGATTGCCGCTCGTGCCAATTTCATTCTCCTCTTCTACCATGCGTCTCCTCAGTGTCGTAGCAATATATATCAGGATCATAGAGTAATAACTAGCCCTACCTGCCACCCCTGGAATTTGGAAAAACAGTGCACGGCTTTCAGCTCAGGTTGTCATTGACCTATAAGGCTGCTGATTTCTTAATCGTGAAGTGTTCAGAGGCTGGGATCTCCCAGCCAGTCCTGATCGACCAGCGTCAACTTGTCGCTCCAGCCCTGTGAAGGGTCCATGCCAGAGAGTTCCTGGTTTAAAGGACCCTCCCACCTTCACTCACAAGCTTTACACAATAAATGTTTTAGGGGTGAAGCTCCTCTTAGTTTAACCTTGTTCTGCGTCAGGCTTAACAGACAGTATCAGAGAAACAGACAGACGGATGGATAGACGGACGCACGGATGAACAGAAACACGGACGTTCGCAAAGATGGACTGGTGTACGGACCGACGGACGAAGAGAAGAGTTCACAGACAGACAGACATATGGACAGACGAATGGACTTAAGGACAGACGCTTCTCATCACCATTCGCTCTGTAGATATGTAGTGATTTTTTTTTCTCTCTCTTTGTACATCACATAACAATCACATCAAAGTTTTTATTTAAGACCTGTATCACTCAGCCACCAGCTGATGTTGAGTGTGTTTGCTTTTTGTATGTAAATTCTCTTCAGTACAAAGAAATTTTCAGAAGTTATGGTTAGTTAGTATAATTGATATGACAAATGAAATGTACATGATATCAAGAAGAAGCGGCCTTTCAGACATGATGTACCACGGAAAAAAAAAAAAAAAAACAGCAGTCTCCTGTGATGGCCTCTTGGCAATGTGGCCTTTCTTTTACTGTGGTACACCAAGCGGTCGGTGCAAGCTCTATATTTAATTGGGGCAGCAGTTTTGTGACCAGGAAAGCTATAGAAGGACTATGGTATTAGTATAACGTTTTGAATTTACAGCTCAAGCCCTTTGTAAGAGGCATGCTCCGGGCAGCAATTCTCGCCTCTTATAAACAGGGTACCATGCTAGCATTTTCTTATCAACCCATATTTTACTGTAGACACACAGGTGTCTCTCGTACCCACTCGTGTCTTACATCAGTGTCTCTTATACTGTACTTGAGTTTAGCACCATTCTTAAGGTACCTTGAAAGCAAAACATCAGGTTTAGCACAAATATTCATTACTAAATTTTGCTTTAGTGGTATTTGGTTCATATATTCTGTGGGGAACTTGAAGCTGCTAATGTTTATGTGAGCAGTCTCCTTCTGGCTGATGGCTAGGCTACTATTTCTGTTTACCAACTGGTATAAAGGTCTCCCTCATCTTGCATTGAGCAAACCTCCCTGCTAAAGTGTGTGGGTAGATCTTCCTCTGGTCGCTATTGTGTCACAGATTTCAGAGTTTTGTCTTTTGGCCACATAGGACCAACAACACTTCCTGAAATTTGGCCCATTTAGAAATTTGGCTCATTTAGAAATTTGGCCCATTTAGTGTATGGTCTTCTGAAAGGACTGTTAAGGAACTTCATTTTTACCGATCAAGAACTATGTAGGCTCTAGTAGATGCTGACTTCATAATTTATGACGTAACTGAAGTTTGTATGACAACAACTTTGAAACGGCATATCACATAACCACTTTCGTTTTCTTTCTGCGTGTTATCTTGCTTACAAAGTGTTTTTTCTGGTAAGAGTGGTGCTTATTAAGACCCTTGAGGTAATCGAAGGAACACTAAAGGCATACACTAATCGTTAGTTTACATCGAGCGTGGATCTGGCAAGCGAATGCAGATTATCCACAAAAGCAGAAAATTTACGGCCACTTGCCTGTATTACACCCAGGCTGATTTTCTCTCCGCGGGAAAGTTGGCCACTTTGGCTGCAGCCAATCAGAGCCTGAGGCACACTCACACATTATTGCGTAGTGCCACAAGGTGGCGACATGTCCACTGTGTATGGGTGGATTGCTCTGCCCCTGTGACGGAGCGTGCAGAAGGCAATGTGGTTGGCCTGAACGGCTGCATACCCTCACTGCCTCTCTGCTTTGAAAATCTGCTTGCTCGCATGCTCCGTGTTTGGTGTGAATGCACCTTCTAGAAAGAAACATGATTTCTTTATGTTCCTACGAAATGTTAGTAAACGTTCCTTTCTGTTTCTATAAATGTTTGTGCCTAACAATTCTTTAGCACTTCCACAGAAACGTGATTGGACTGTGCAGGCAAGCGCAGGCGCCACTTGGCTGACTTCCCGGGTGCTCCTGTGATCCTGGAGCAGTTGAAGCAGAAGCCCAGCCGACGACGCGTAGGGCTGGTTGCCACAAGTGCAGGGCCTCCTGCACGCAGTGAGTGTTGGACCTCGTTTTAAGTCTCGGAGACTGCATGAATGGCACCACAGAATAAGGTACTGGAGGACAGAAGTGGCCCAGTGATTACGGCACTTGGCTGCTCACCCAAAAGACACAGGTTCAATCCCGGCTCCAGCATTCTCATTCCAATAGAGAAAAAATACTGCAGTGTCTTAGCTCAACACTCCGAAATTCAGACAATCGAATAATTTGGATGGGTTCTGTGGTACTGGTAAACATATAAATTGTTTAATGGCATCAAACTCTCATTGATTTGGTCATATTTGACTGCAACCCGGACTAACCTTGGAGTGTGACAAGTATGAAGTATTGTAAATATACGATACAACAGCGAAAGAGGCATTTGCAGACAACCGAAACAGCCAGGAGCTTATAGATTGAGGTGGTCACCATATAGAACCACATAATAAGCACGTTTCAGTTCAAGACACGGAGTCTCGAGCTGCATTCACGTTATGAACAATGTCTTAAATGAGGGAAATTAGTTTTTTTACTGCTCTTATGCGAAGTAATTGCTCGGTTGACATTTTCTTCAAAAAAATGAAAGTGCATTGGTAGACACTTGTTTATTGTTTTCTTGATACTTTCGATAATTTGGCATTCGGTTAACTTGGACAGTTTCTCTGGTCCTGTGAAATCCGAATTAATGAGCTTTTACTGTATAGGCCTGGGTACTACTATATTTTGATGCGGGTTTATGAACCTCAGTTGGTTAAAAGCAACCAGATGGCGTCTCTTATAGCCACAGTTGTCACTTTGTGGTTCTCACTATTTTTCTAGCATCACAGTAGGGATAAATGTGCAGCTCTACCAGCAACATCACACGTGACGTTCATGCTCAAGCCTGGTGACTCTGCCACATATGACCAGGGGCACGATTCTTGATGTATCCACTTCATGAATAGTCCACTTCGTGAATTGTCCACTTCGTGATTTGTTCACTTCGGCCTCCACTGATTGGCTGGAGTGCAGCAAAGCAGCGTGCCCCCTTTTTCAAGTTCTTTTTCTGCAACGTTATTTTGATGTTATAAAGCTTTCACAAGTCTCGGCACAAGTGAGAAAGACTGAATGTGTGTCGTCGCAACGAATGCTGCCACCAGAGGTCTGCCTTTAGGCAAACATCTCGGAGGCGCTGCGTGAACTCTAATCGCGTTAGCTCTGGAATTGGGTTTTAACTTGGTTGCCCGCCTGATGAACCTGGAAGGTTTATAAGCATTGTTCTAAGCATCTGAGGTCGCTTGTATGCAAGTTCAGATTTGGCTTATTCAGCACACACTCGCAGACGTGAACCGCTCGCTAGGAACAATGCCCCAATATACGGCCTCTGAAATGCGAGAGAAAGGAAAAGTCAGAACTGTTAGGAGAACACAAGACATGACAGTGCTACTCTGGCCAACTCAGTTACCCTCTGAGGAAGAAACCAGATTGTTCTCAAAATGTTGAGCTCTTTTTAAACTGGACAGAGCCATTTCAAGTCTCTACTCAGCCCAACGGATTTCTGTCAAAATGTTTACATTTAAGTTAAGACTTGTCAAGTTTAAATGTCCTGCTACCGTGCATTTGGTTCACTTTTTTCTCTTAATGCTAAACGTATGCTAGTGGGTTCTGTGCGTCAACGTTGCAAAGACTGCCACGATATTGAGACAAGCTACTTTTTGAGTAACTGAATGCGCTCCGACAAAGTGGGTAATGCACAAGGTGGATACATAGAGAATCGCACTCAAGAAGATTTACTGCTGTGCTCTTTAGGGAATCGAAATGAGTGAGCATGTAACATTAGCATGCCCAGTAGGTATGGACTGAGGCAAGCTAAGTCTATTTTTGCAGTGCACCTAAGCATCTCTGCATCACATTAAAAATTATGAAGGAAATTTTTGTGGATCTAGTGTGTGAATCATTGAGCTGCGGAAGAGCTGGATTACTGAGAAACTGGCGACCCCAATAGCCATGCCACAAACGTTGTTTTGCCATTGCATGTGATCCTGTGTGCAGGCATCGTCATGATAGAGATGATGTACCACAGGTAAATGCCGGCACTTTGCATTACTTCTGATGTGCTATGAAATGCGATACACTACTGTAGCATTCATGTTAAAATTGTATTACTCATCCTGCCCATTGTGCATACTGACCAAAACTCCTTTCACGAGCTTTATTAAATGGGCCCTGAAGCACTTTTTCAAGTAACCATGGAATGAATTCACCGGAAGAGCTGTTGCCTCACGAATTCAACGCGGCAAAAATTTTAAGAATCTGCCCAGTGCGAGTAGAGTTACTAAGATTTCTCACATGCTGAAATTGTATTCTCTCTTCTCTCGTCTTGACGAAAGCGCTTAAAGCTAAGCAGGGAGGGATAGCAGGGACAAAGAGAAAACGTCATGCGCGCCTTGTGACCTTGAGCACTTCTTTGTTTTTTTTTCTTCGAGTGTGCAATTTTTTCAGTTTAATTGCACGCGCAGGCGTGGACAAGCAGCGGCCTCCCGCGGCAATCTTTGTAATGACTGAGCCCATCATGTTGAAATCAACCAATGGCTGATAGAAAGGCTTTCTACAAGTAATTTTTGAGTGTTTTCCGTCATTTGTCGAGAGAAAAGAAAGCAATTTTCAGCTGACTTTGATAATTTGTTGTGAATTCCAGGCCGTGTGCTACGCTATAATATTTAGCTTGTGTGTTGTCGGGAGCCTCTACTACTGATGGCAGCGTGTTCTGACCATGCTCAGAAAGTGTTGCAAGGCCCCTTTTAGTGTGAAACAACCACATAGTTTCATGTTTAAATTATTGAAATATTGTTTTCTAGAGCAAATGATGGATAATTATTTCGAGGTGTTTTCATCGTGCCGAGTTGCAGCTTCGGTTTCAATGAGCGTCGAGAGATGAATAATTTAGCGGTGTTTGTTAGTAAACAGAGCTGGCCATGTGAGCACACAAAGCAGTGGCATGCTCTCTATGAGTGCTGTGCACAGCACCGTGTGCACATGGGCATCTGTAAACATGAGCATTGTGTGAATGTGAGCACCGTGTTGACAACTGGGGGAAAGAGAGCACACAAGGAGCATGGAAGCCAAAACAAGCTCGACGCGTTACTGGTTGTTGGCTGCTTACATTCAGACGAAGGTGATGCTAATTTTAAAAGGTGCTCAGTTTTGCGTTCAGTTGCGTGACGTACACTTTCAAACTAATTTTTGTCAATATCTTTTAGCATTGTCTCCTTTAGGCCCGAGGTGCTTTAGGAGTGGATTAAGCTTCCAGCAGAACCAGCGCGCCTCAAGTTTCAAACAAATGGCATGAGGTAGCGCTAGCGACCGGCACTATCATCATGTCATTTGCTAAGCATGTTCGCCCGTGACCCATGGGGTCGTGCCAATTGAAACTTCGAGATTGGCAACTGTGTGTGGCCATTTCGGCGGCAGTGCAAGATGCCGGAATTATTAGAGCATCTGTCACATTATTGGAGCAACTGAAACTAGTGGAAAGCAGAAAAGCAAAGGGTTTGGCAGTTGGTTTTTTGTTCATGCAGCAGGTATTTAGTCTAGGAGGCAATAGTTTAGTGCTAGATTAGCCGTTAATATTTTTTAGGTGATGTGTGTGTCCACACAAACCTGTTTCAAAGTTCTCTCTCCTTCAAAGTTTTGTGTCAGCACTCCTTTAATCAGAGCGACCATTAACCGTTATCACAACAGATGGCGCTGCGGTGTACGACTCAGCAGGCTCAAAGGAACTGGGACGCGTGACAAGTGGGCTGCCTTCACCCAGCCTGGGCAGCAACATTTCCATGGCATGCGTGCCTCGTGAATACAGCACGGCTGGCACGACTGTACAGCTTGAAGTGCGCGGCCGCCACATTGAGGCTGTCGTGACACGCATGCCTTTTGTACCTAGCCATTACTACACTGGTTAGGCTGCTGACACAATAAATTCAACTTGTGAAATTGCATAAGGTGTGCTTGGACATGGAGCTACGCACTATCGGGGACTGACAGCCAATTTTTACGGTGCCTATTTTCTTTAGTGCAATAGAAGAGAGAGTCTTATCACAGAATATTAATGAGATCTAACAGACAATCATGCCAAATAAAGTATAGGGGATGTTATATGAGGTAAATGTAATGTAAATGTGATGAAAGAAAAGTGTATGAAAAGATAACTTGCTGTGGGCAGGGACCGGACCTGCAACAAAAAAAACGAGCCCTAACTGTACAATTTCCTTGTACAATTAATGATAACATGAAAAATGTTTGGAAACATCTATTAGGATTTTTGTATCTGCAGCGAATATGAATTTGCAGCATGCATTGTCGCTTGTGTTTACAAACAGTGAGTGCAAGAGCAGTTCACACTCGAGCACGGAGGTTTGCTACGCATGCGCGCACTCTGTACGCATGCGTCACGGCTCTCAGCACGTTGCACTGCCTACTGTAAAGGCAGCATTGCTTCTGACTGTGCAACTCCTTTTGCCTCGTAAGCAGCACCAAATAGAGTGAGGGTAGACAATAACTTACATACTTGTTGTGCCAGGCAGCAGTGACAGGAGCACCGCGTAACCAGGTGGCAGGTTGACGGAGAGGCCGAGTTGCAGGAGGCACGCAGTAAGATGACACGCAGACGCAACTTTGGCGAGACTGGCAGGAGACTGTTCTCTCCCATGGTTTATTACAGTGTTTATAAGGAGGGGGAAAAAGGGTGATTGGCCGGCATGACGGGGGGAACATGACCAACGTGGCCAGGCCGGGTAGTCTAATAAAACAGGCACTGTGGAGGCCCAGCTCCACCCAGTGATATGTAAGGGAACCTTACCACACTGATGTCTTTACAAGGTACCAGGGGTTGCATGACACAACAAAACTGTAATTATTAGAACTAATTATGGTGTGAATGGCAGCATTAGACTATGTCGCTATGTACATCAAAGGGAATGACTCCATATAATCCAGCTTCAAGGCTCTTGCGCTAGGTTGCGCAACACACCAGTTTTTGTTGCATTTAAACACAATTTAAATATATAAATCCTACTCACAACATGAGAAGGATGCCGGAATTTGTCATTATATTTCTCAGTCTTTTCATTTCTACGAGAATCTAATATGTTGTGACCAGTTGTCGGTTCCTTTAAGAAATTCAACTCCTTCTGCTTCATCAATGGCCACTGAAGGAAGGTTATACTCCGTCTCACCGTTCAGCATTGACAAAGTTACGGGGTGTAAGCAAGCCACATGCTTGCGCAGGAAAACATAGTTTCAAATAGAATCGCCCTGTAATTGGCAAGACATTTTTCTTTATTTACATCAGTCAAATGTGTATTCTTCATTGTATTTACAGCATTATTATTTTGTATCAGTAACCACTGGTAACTTTGGTTAAAAATCGACGTGGCAGCACCCATACAGACTGCCCGCTTCAATCCAAATTTGCCCTTGAAGCTTGCTTAATGTTCACAGCAACAAATGAAAGGTGTAATGAGCTATCGCTTTGTGCCATCTCATAATCAGGACAAAGCATCTGGTACACTTTGTCGTTATTGGTGAGATAAGCTGCTGTTTCTTTAACCATGCCTGCAAAAAAAGCCTAACGCACCAAGAATTTTCAGCGATTCATAGAAATAGCGCAATATAGTATCGAATACATTGGCGCTGAAGCAACAAGACATAAACTTAAAGAAAATACAAGTGTCAGTTTGGAACTTACTGTCCACAAAGCACACGTCGAGGATGTGATAAACTCGAGGCGGAGGGCACCAGTGTCGACGGGTGCAGCCATGTTCTATTTTTCCGGTGCTGCCATCTGCTCGCTGAACGTGTCCGTGCAGACACCAGGGGGGTGCTTGGCAGACAACGCGGCACGAATGAATATATGCGGAGGGGATATTCACCCTCCTAAGGGGCACTGTAGCCTCCACAGTGCTGAAGGGAACTTAATAGACTGAGTATAGGTGATACCGTGTGTTGTGTGGGAGCCCTTGGACCGAAACAATAAAAGAGAACAGTGGGAATTATGTTCTGATGCAGGGACAGTGTCTTGTTTCTCTTCCTCACATGTGCTCTACGATCTCCCCAAACAAACACGCCTGACACCTACTGCAGCGTATTGGCCATAAATTGGGTGGTAAGTTCTTCTCTAAATATAATTATTAGCCACAGGTAATGGGTAGCATGAGCAACTGAATACTTTAAAGCCAAAACACACTCTGTACACTGCTACACATCTACAGGGAGGACTGTTGAATAGAGAGGGAAATTCAGTCCTTGTCATTCCTTCACATGTGCTGTACGACAGATGTCAATACATAGCGTGTGTTTTGGAATGTTTATTATTGTCTTTTACTCTACTCTGGTACGCGGTTGTTCATAAAAGTAGGCTGCGTTTAATTCTTCTAAAATTGTGCATTTGTTTGGAATGACTGATGATCAAAGGAATTTCATGGGGACTAACTGAACACAAAGCAATGCTTATTATCAGAAGGTGGAAGTTGTAACATTTTCTTGAAGGTTTTAAGGGATAACTGCTACATCAACTCTATTCTGTATTAAGATGCACCAACTCGCCTGACAAGTTCTTTCAGTCTGTAAAGAATGACAAGAATTCTTGGCTATAGCTAGCTTTAGTCTTAATCCTTGCAAATGCAATAACATGATGCTTTTGGTCAGTTTCTTTTTAGGCCCTGCTTTTAACATGCACAGTGAGATGCTCTCAATACTAGTACTGTAGAATTTAACTCAAAACAGCAGCTGCACTGCTTCAAGCATACAATAAAATTGGACAAATTTTCACGGCTTTGCAATACCCCATCACCAACGACACAAGTACACAATGCAAATGAACTTGCAGAATGCAACACATTCTTGTCTTCAGCTATCCAGGAGATAAAGGCAGCTCGTGGCAATTTATTTTCTACATTCTACATCAGCTTTCAACCATTTCAAACACCACGTATGAAGAACTGTCTATAAACTTGGAAGCACTCAACAGTCTATTGCAACAAAAATAATGTCATAATATCTTACTTAATGTGTGTTATACTAAGTAATCCTAATTAGTTGTAATTAATTTCCACTCTACTATGACATAAAAATTTCAGATTAGAAATATAGCCAAATTCATTTTGGTCATTAGGAGCAAAAAAAATTCAAATTTTCACATGACTCACAGAAAGTGGCACATCCAACGACTCGTCAAATGTGGTAGGGCTTTCAGAAAAGTGATGATGTAATGTGCGACCGTGCACTGCAAAATCAAGTTAACTGAAGACAAATTTATTATGCAAAATGTTCAATTCATTCAAAGCTTGATATATATCTCTCTCTTCCTTGAGCCCCAAGTTAATACAAATTGCAAAAACAAGTGGTGTAAATAATTGTGTACATGATTTGTCAGAAGGTTAAGGGTGAAAAAAATTTTTTTTGGGGGGGGGGGGGGGGGAGCTGAAGGGCTTGGGGAGATTTGACACTATATGATTGGCCTATGAAGATGCTCAAGGATGCAACTACTGTACATGGTTGATATGACGTGTGAATCTTCCAATTTCATGACTAGTTTGTAGGAAGACTGCACTTCTTCAAACTGCTCAGCGCCTTCTCCCTCAACAAAAGCCGAAGAGGGCAATGTTGTAAACTCTCAATGTTAATGTATAGTCTTGTATGGAGTTCTCCAATCACACGACTTGCGTAACTCCTCATGGGCTCCATCTATCAGAACCTTAACACATCATTGGCCAAGATCATTAAAGTGTGCCTTTCTTGAAAATATTTCACCTCATTCCTCTAGTGGTAACATGTGCACTTCCAGGTGGCAAGTCGGTTTGCTATCCTCCGTGAATAAGTTACAAGCATGTCTAGGTTTCAATGTGGCAGCGTTAAAAAGCTAGTTTCAGCATTAAAGAGTTTGTTTTGCAGAAATGCCAATTTTGGTTTCTGCAGTGGCGTTCTTGGTTGTGAGCGAAAAATCAGCGGTGTCCGTGAGGGAAAATTTAAGGTAGATGCAAATAAAGAAGTAATTAAAAATCTTCGGTCTGAGTGGGAATGGGTATTAAAACTTGCGACCGCTTGCTTCATGTCACGATGCATTTAGCCGCTCGGCCACCATGCATACATCCTCTAGCATACTAAGGGCAAGCTATTGATATTGTCACGGGTAAGTGTGTATGAGCCATCCACTGTGGCTTGAACTCGTTTAGAAGTCGAGGAAGAAGAGAACATTGCTTCCTTGGTCTGGTTCTGGGCAAGAGGATTCCAATTCTTTGTCTCCCTTCTTTTTTTTTTTTGCAAATTTTTTTCTATATATTCTGGTTTATCGAATTCTTTTGCCATTTTTACCTTTTCTTTTTAAAGGAGCATTATTATTGTTCTTATCTGACTTCTCTCTCTTTTAGTAAGCATTGTATAAAAAATTTACATTATAAGGTACCCTGTGGCGACTCACCCTTGTGAGTATGAGCCAGGATCTTCTAGGCGACAAGACAAGACGTCAACTCCTGGCTGGCTGTGTAATTTCGCTCGACGCACTGGTGGAACAGCTGGGCAAATTCGCCTTGGATTCCGATTTTCAGCCGACACACCGAGCTACTTGGAGACAGCTACAGCTCGCACGGCAAGAAGCAGCCGCCGCCTGTGAGGACTATCCCCCGAATTCAGTCTCATATTTCAAGACGAGATACCAACCTCGACTACCAACCAGGCAAGTCAAACCAACGATGCCTATTCTCTTCTCCTGCATGTTTTTCATGCACCGCAAACACCGCACTCATTTCATGAAGACATTTAGGAAAATGTTGATGACTGGCTTGACCACTTGGATCGAGTTGCCAGCATCAACGAATGGGATGAAGCTCGCAAGCTGCGGAGAGTTTATTTCGCATGGGAAAACTCTGCCAGAACATTGTACGAGAATCACAAGGGTTCCTTTGCGACAAGGCAAGAGTTCAGTCAGCAGTTTGGCGATGCATATCGCTGCGCCGGTCATGTGCGGCACTACGATGCAGCACATGACTCGAGTATTGATCTCATAACAGCTTTCGTTGTAAGAGATTTCGCGTCGACTACCGAAAGTTGAATAAGATCATGAAGACGTGTATCCTTTACCATGAATAGATGACTCGCTGGATCGTATTCGGAACGCTCGTTACTTTTCTTCCATGGATCTACGCAGCGGCTGTTGGCAAATTGCCGCTGACGAGCGTGACTGCAAAAAGAGTGCTTTCATTACTCCTGACGGACTCTATGAGTTCAAAGTCCTTCCCTTTGGCTTATGCTCAGCGCCAGGTACATTTCGAAGAATGATGGACATGGTTCTTTCTGGGCGAAAATGGCGATCATGTCTCGTCTACCTTGACAATGTGGTCATCTTCTCGGACACCTTTGAGCGACACGTCCAGCACTTACAGACAGTTCTTCGGCGATTCGAACAGTTGGACTTTCTCTCAAACCTGAGAAATGTCATTTTGCTTTTGAGGAACTTAAGTTTGTTGGTCACGTAAGCCATGCCGGTATACACCCAGACCCTAAGAAAACAAGTGCTGTTGCCACATATCCTGTCCCAATGAACAAGCAGGATCTCCGCTGATTTCTAGGACTGTGTGCATATTACAGACGCTTTGTCAAAGGCTTTTCTAAAATCACTGAACCTCTCAATGAACTTACAAAAATGGCGACCATTTGTTTGGAGTCAGGATCACCGTCATTCTTTTGACACCCAACGAAACCATCTCCAAGCTCCACATGTACTCGGTCACTGACAACAACGCTGCCACAGAGCTCCACACGGATGGCAGGAATGTCGGAGTTGGAGCTGTGTTTGTTCAATGGCAAAATGGCATAGAGCGTGTGATTGCTTGTGCAAGTCAAACATTATCATGCGCAGAAAAAGACTACTCTGCAACAAAAAAAAAAAAAAAGAATGCTTAGCCATTGTTTGGGCTATAACAAAGTTTCGGCTTTATAACTTGTATGGTTGCCCATTCAGAGTACTTAACGACCACCATTCTTTATGCTGGCTCGCCAATCTCAAACATCCTTCTGCTCGTCTAGCACGGTGGAGCCTTTGGCTGCAAGAATTTGACGTTATAATCATACACAAGTCGGGACACAAACACACCGATGCTGACTGTCTCTCACGTGCGCCAATCGGAAGAGGACGATACATTTCTTTCCTCTGTATCAGCAACCGACTTGGCTCAAAACAACGCGACCACATGGAACTAAGCCCGCTCATTGACTACCTCAAAGGCCACAAAAGCAGTCTTCCTCGAAATTTCGCACATTCGCTGGCCTCGTTCTGAATCAGAGATGGAGTCCTCTATAAGAAGAACTTTGACCCATACGCAAGCTACTTACTTACCAGTTACGCCAACTTCGCTTCATGACAATATTTTACATGTTTGTCATGACGAACCATCATGCGGACACCTTGGCTACACGCGCACTTTGGAAAGAATCCGCCGCTCCTACTACTGGTCACGGCTCGCAAAGACAGTCGAGCAGTAAATCCGCATATGCCGCGACTGCCAACGCCGTAAGGCTCCACCTGTCCGACCAGCAGGATTACTACAGCCTATTGCCACACCAAAAGCACCATTCCATCAATTTGGCATGGACTTGCTCGGATCGATTCTCACGTCTTCGTTTGAAAGTCAGTGCATTGGGCTCGCCATCGATTATTTAACACGTTATGGTTAAACAAAGGCTCTGCCCAAAGCTACCGCAGCCGAAATCGCCCAGTTTTTCGTCACCAGCATCGTCCTCCATCACAGAGCGCCAGCTGTGATAATTACTGATCGTGGGACAGCTTTCACTGCAGAGATGCTTCAAGAAATGCTGAGACTAAGTGGTACAGAACATCGGAAAAAAACTGATTATCACCCCCAAACAAATGGACTCACTTAATGGCTGAACAAGACCATTGCAGATATCCTGTCAATGTATGTGGCATTTGACCTCAAGAACTGCGACAATATACTTTCTTGCGTAACTTTTTCTTACAATACGGCAGTCCAAGAGAGTACAGGTTTCACCCCGTTTCTCTTAGTTCATGGCCGAGAGGTCGCTACAATGCTCAACACAATGCTCCTTCTGGACAACCTGGACATGTTCAATGTGGACGCTGCCTTGTCCAACGTGCCGAGGAGGCCCATCAACTCTCCCGACGCCGTATTCAGACTCGCCAAACTGCCGAAACACGGTGCTACAACCTTCGACACCAAGAGGTTACCTTCCAACCAGGCAATGAAGTTTGGGTGTGGACCCTCATCTCACAGCTTGGCCACTCTAAAAAATTGCTGGGACGCTACTTTGGCCCATACAAGGTTCTACGCCAACTTAGCCACATAATGTACCAAGTTCTCCTAGAGGGCACTTCAAGACGTTCCTGTCAGCTTCCACAAAGTGATGTGATGCATGTTTCAAGGCTCTAGCCACCTTTCTCGGCGTCGTCAATCAAACGTGGACTGACTTTTCATGCAATGACTACTTATTTTCTTTTTCTTTGTCACTTTTGTTCTTTTTTGATGCGTCTTGTGTCTTAGCTCTTTTCTTTATTGAGTATTTCTGTGACAGCAACCCATTCATTTTGCCTTACGACGCAGTTGTTAGATTCTGTAGTAGCGTCTTTTCTTTCTAATTTTTTCAACGCTCATAACCAGCATCGAGATGATACTTTTTGGGGAGAGGGAATAACGTCACAGGTAAGTGTGTACGAGCCATTCACTGTGGTGTGGAACTCTCTTAGAAGTGGAGGAAGAGGGGAACATCGCTTCCTCGTCTGGTTCTGGGCAAGTCGTGAGCTCTTGGCTGTCTGTGTTGTTCTGCTCGTGGCAATATACAACCCGTGACCCGCAGAATAGTATTTTGAAAAGTTAATTCGAGCACGAAAACTTGACACGATCACTCACACACGCACACACCCATGCATCAAACACACACAGCGCCCACTTCCAACTGATTTATTCATAGCTCGAAGGCTTGAATATATACCCGAATTAACTTTTCGAAATGCTCTACCAACTAGCCCAACAACAAGTTCCCGCAGAATAGTACTACGCACATGGGGGTATTATGTGGCCCCATCACGTCGTCGTTGGACTACCCCCCCTCCCCACCCTTCCCCGACTTATCATTTCCGTCTAAAGACTAACGGGCCAATTTCAATCAAAAATTTCGCTTGTGCCGATGAGGCACATATCATGACTTTTGGTGGCTAAACATGACAACAGATGCGGACCAAGCGACATTTGGTGTCCTAAAGAGAGGCGTGAATGCAGGCCATTGAGATAGTCTAACAGACAATTTTTGATGCCAGAAGCCACCAGTTTTGATTTCAGCAATCTCCATTGGAGGTGCTGTTCGGACCCGGAAAAGGCCCATTTGCTGACTTTCCTCTATTTGCTTACATCCCCCCCCACCTCCCCTAGTGTTCCCTCTGGCCCCTCACTGTGCCAGCTTCATGCAACTTGGCCCTAACTTGCCGAACCGTAATATAGACCACTTAACAGTGGTGTTGCATAGCCTCGTTTTTATTGCTTCAGGGTGTGCAAAAATCACAGCATATCCACGGGTGAATGATGATGAGTGGGTGAAGCTTTGGAGGGAGTCATGGATAAACGGTGAATCTTCTGTGTGATTCGCCCAGTCGATCATAATATAAAGAAGTGAGAAACGCTGTATGTGTATGCCATGCCGCTTGGGCCTCCCGCTCTTGTACAGCAGGATCTTGGCGGCGGCATCGCGCAGCTTCACGGCGTGCGTCTGCCTCGCGGGCCTGCACATCGGGATTCTGTCTGAGAGCACACAGTGCCGCCGCCTTACGCACTCGCTGCATTGCAGCCTTGTCCATCTGGCGACTCGAGCACGCACCAACAGCGAACGAATTTTATTACAATGCTCCCCCTAACATACGTCGCTGCACTAAATAGAACGATTGCCTTCCACCAATCACACGTGCCATATGTGACATAATTCCTATTATAACATCTCGCATCTCTTCATGAACTACAAGTACCACCATCTAGTGAACACTGCAAGAACTAAACTAGAGTTGGCTACCTACTACTACAACTAAATACATCAGAGGATGTACAGACCCACGCCTCAAGGAGCTCCGCCCCTAAAAATTTGTTTTTTAGATAAGAATACATGGATTATCAAGTTCATTTTCACACGTGCCGCCAGTATCACTGGAGTGTGCAAAATATGCTATCAGATGAGCTTGCGTTGACTTTTATTTCATTTCTGTGTCGCTCGGGAAAGGGGGGGCATGGTTGCATATATATTATTTTTTCTGAAATAACTTTAGTTGCGAGAGTCGAATCTTTCGTGTCACCTTTGTCCTCATCAAAAGTGCACTACTTCACCATACAGTATAATGATGAATGTGTAGTGGTGGTAAAAACAGGCTCTACTGCCATCGGGTTGACAAGCTGCCTTGCAGGCAAACTAGCTTTGTTAAACAGGTTTATTCACGTGGCGTTTTCTTTTATGAATACAGAGAACAAAAAACAAGGACAGCAATAAAAAATCTAGGTGTAAGACTATGGCGTTCTAATTCAAACGTAACGTAATACTACATTGCGCATAAACGTGCAAAAAAAAATTCATGACTTCACACACACGTCGTATAGACCAGTACAGACAATTTCTTCTTCGCTAGTTTTTATCTTCGGACAGCACAGATTCACCGAGAAAGTCTCTCTATACTTGAGAATGCTCGAACTATAGTGCACTCCATTTCGGCGGGAACTGTCTGTACTGACAGCGAGGAGGACGTTTTGTCCTGAGGAAGGGAGGAAGAGAGTTCATTGGTCGTCGCCACTCGAATCTCCCGACAAGCCTGTGGACTGTCCAGTGACACGGCAGCGATGTAGAATGGCATTTTCGTAGGCCTTCTTGACGGCCTTGCGCTCGGCCGGCTTCTTTGACTCCACCAGCTTCGCCTTGTCTCTGGCCGTGTCGACACCCAGCGGCTCGAGCTTGTTTCTCGGCAGCCATTGCCTGAATTGAACAACGTTAAAGCCTTGTATATCTCATGCAAACATCACCTCAAATGTAAAGCTGCATGAGTGAAATGAAGCAGAATATATTGAGTGACCATGCGAGCTCTGCTTTGTAGCTTTTGCATTACACACACACGCACAAAAAAGGCCAAAGTTTGTGTCACTCTGTTTTTACTGACTGCTACGGAGTAATGTAGAAACAGCACACTATAGAAGACGCTGAGCCAGCAGACCCTAGTGGATTTTACAACAGGGCCAAAGAACTATGCAGTCACAGAAAAGGCTCTATAAGCACAAAATGAGACACAATGAGCCTAATGGCTCGTCGGAATCTCTTATGGCGTTTTAGTGTTCAATGCATCGCCAGTAAGGTTCCTTTTCACGATAGTGTAAGAGACACTAGAAATTTTTCGCTCACATCTCCTAAGAGGTGACGTGCCTTTGGGAACCAACTTTCTTGTAACTGGTTGGATCTTGATGAAAATTGGTAGAGACATTAGGAAGAGCCTCAAAGTACTTCCATAAAAATTTTGAGGCGATACCAAAAAAACTTGATTTCTTCATTCAACCTCGTAGAGAGGCTGGAGGATATATAAAATGACATAAATAGTTGGTAATTACCCCAAACACAGCCAAATGTATGCTGAAGAGGGCTGCATTTTCAATATAATTTTTTGGCAACACTAAAACTTGTAGTTAACGTTTTCTCCAGCGATGCTCAAATGAGCACACTTACACTCCAAACAATAAGCCCTACAAAAAATTCTTGAAGCAGTAAAATTCAAAAATACGGTTGCAGAACCATGAAGCACAGTTCCAAGAGTGTTACAAAACAAACGGAATCAGAATCTCTGAAGTGGTTGCCAAGATATTTGCTCCACAAGCTGAGTATAATGCAAAAAAAAAAAAAAAAACAGCATTGAGAAAACTGCGTTTAAAGTATTTACGTCTTTATAACGCATAAAAATTGTGATCTTTGGTTTGCCTTGTGATATTTGACTTCTAGGACATGTGGCCACTGCCCAGTGCGTCTTTGTTGCTCCCCCCCCTCCCTTTTTTTCATCACCTCCTGTTTTGATTTACAAAAAACAAGTATGTATCTCAAACCAAGTTATCTGAATGAAGGAATGGTATGATAGGCATGACAGAAAAGATTGTGATTGAATAGGGCCATATACTGAAATGATTACACATCTTCCTTGTGTTCAAGCTGTCATTATTTTAATTAAGTACTTCTTGATTACAAATAATTACTCAACTAAATTTATGTACAGAGAGGTTTATTGCCTCAGAAAATGGCTCACACCATGACAGTTTATGCGTTCTTTCTAAATAACAATTATGGGCAGGAAACTAATGGCACAGGAATTTTTTAAGTTTATTTAATAACTCGAGTCGGGCAGATAAAAATTCGTGCCCCTGCTTCATACATGTCTTTTGCCACTCTATCCACGAAACGCATCATCATGCGGCCGGTCGCAGAAATGCTAATCTTCGAGGCTTTCATTATTTCATAAGAGACATACACGCTCGCGGAATTACCAAACACAGCTCTAAGCATCTCTAGCATCACTAGAGCTTATTGACCGTGAAGTGCGTGGCTGCGGGGACAGTGCAGCCGGTGCATGATGCGCTTGGCGACGGCGTTCGGTGACGATGCGAGAAATGTGTAGCTACGATGACGAAAAATCGGCGCGCACTGTGCTTGGTATCACATTTTCGAGTGCCGACGCGTGAAACTGCTATTATAGCCGCTGTTCTGAGCAATCCTTGGCAGTGAAGGCAGGGGAAGGGGTCTGACGAGCTTGACTGGAATCCACTGTCGATGCGTAAATGGCCCATCTGCGGTCCCGACGAGGCAGCGAACGATGCGCTTCGTTGCTTGCAAAGAAGCACGCTGCCACGAGTGTGCTAGCGCGTCGTTCTTGCCTGCAAAGTTCCTCTCGCCGTCAGCGGAGTTAGGCCTAAAGACGACTCCGATGACACGCTGCGCTCGTAGACCGCGCGACCGCTCGTAGTAATCTGATCGAGCATCTGCTTACAGCTCCTAACCAAAGCGTCATTATATCCTTAGTGACCGTCGAGCCGTGAATACGTCAGGAAATAGCGATTTTCAACAGCCGTGTCCTCGCGACGCACAAGCAGCAGACGACGATCCCCCGGAGCGAACATCGGGCCAATGACGTGGCGAGTTGGGGCAAAAGGTGAACACGGCCAATCAGAGGCCTCCCAACGTACTTAAGTATTTGCTTTTTTCACGGTTATTTCTGAATGAAGCAGCCAGCTGACGCGGGAAATTTGAACACGAAATGCTCTTTCCGATGAGACCAAGAAGCTGGCTCTCAGCTGAGCCATTGCCTAGCTATAATTTTTTTTTAAAATAGCTGTTTTCTCACGGTTTCTAGAATAATTTTTGCTACCTAGGAGGGCGGAAAAATTTTTTTCAGGTACTTCTGCATGATTTTCAGAGTAGATATATAGGAATCAGATAGAAAAAAAAGTTCCAGAAACTGAAAACTTGATTTTCGAAAAATCAATTTTTGTTTGCCATTTTTCGCGATACCAAAGCTGTGTCTTCTCTCCTTAAGGCGCGAATTGTGATGCACTATTAGCACATGCATCCAATTCGCGTGAAATAATTCTAAGGCACTAGGTACTACATCCCGAAAAAGAAAATGAAAGATTGTGTTGTTCTGTGGGAGTATCAGTAATAGTTATTAGCCTGCAATTAAACATCTAATTATTTCACAATCAGTCAGCTTTGCATACAAATAATCAATGATTAGGTCTAAATGCATGCACAATTTGTCTATATATACATTTGTTTCAACCAAAGAGAAGTAAACAGCTTCTTCACATTGCTCCTCATGTGCGGCACGTCGAACGATTGTCAAACATCATAGTGTCACCAACAATGCGATGCTCTGCAACAACATGCAGCACAATTAACTTGAATGACTGCTAGTTGTCCACTTGGGAAGCATGCATAATTGGGAACACTGCGTTTCAAGCAATTAGGAAAGAAAAAGAAAAAAACATGCACCTCCCAAGATTATGTGTAGTGTTGCTCGTTGTGCAAGTTGGTACATATTTAAACACGAAAAAACCACTAAAACGAAAAAAAAATGAAAAGAACTGAGAGGCAGAAGCAAAGACAGTGAACACAGAGGTATTCACTGTCTTTGCTTCCGCTTCTAAATAAATAAATAAATAAATAAATAAATAAGTAAATAATAGAGGTGTGTTCTAACACCGGATGTTTATTTTAAGAAAAAAGAAAATGACTCCTCCTAAGTCCGTACAGATCATACACAAAATCACCTTATTTGTTTTTCCGTTTTCAATGTTTCAATGGCTTTCTTCGAGTAAAGTGTACAATTGTACACATGGTCGCATAAGGGGATATGCATTGAGACACATTTACGGAGTCCCATACACAGATGTATATATGAAAGGTTAAAATTATGCAGTCTCGAGCAGCTAGAGTATAGCCTGAACATCTATTAAGCTTCTACCATTTCAATTCAAAACTGTTATCGATATAAAGGCAATTTTCACTGTCCACAGGTGTCATGCTCACGAATCGGCAAAAACTAAGGAAGGAAAGCCACTACGTGCTTCCTCTGCTATGCTGTTTTTACTTGTGCCGTGACCACGGTGTAAGAATAAGTTAGGTGATGACATTGCGCTCGGTGGCACGTCCAGATTGTGTTCGCTGCCTGGGCTGTTTCCGCTTGATGCGACAGATGGCGCTCACGGAGGGCGAGTCGTAAAGCCCCTGAATAAAATAAAAGCAACAACAACCCCTCTCTCCTCCTCCTGCACCAGCGTTCGCTTTCTCTTTTTTCGACTATGGCTCAACCCAAGGTTACTAGATACTTTCAGTTGTCAAACTCCGCCGTGGCGCCTGACCTCTTCCTGTCGCGCCCGCGAAGCGGCGTTCGCAGCGCTGTCGGTCCGAGGGCAAGGTGCGAGCACCGCTGGTAGAGGCAGCGCGTAGAGGCAGCAAAGCGTGCATTTTTCTTTTGCTCACATTGGTTATCTATGTGCCAGGACAATGCCGCAGGATTTGTGATAAAAAAATCACACCAACTCCCACTAAAAGGCTATGCAAAAGCGAGGCGATGCGAAGCAGCACCGGAGGTGTACATCGCGTTTGCATCAGTTTGACTGAGTGTTTCGGTTAAAGCTTGACCCCACGCATCCGTCACAGCGTGTCAACATGTGGCTTTTTGATGTGGCGTTGTGCCCTCTCCCCATGAAGAGAAAGGGTGTGCTACGCACTCTCTCTCTCTCTCTCCGTATGAGAGTCTGGGACCCTCGAGCACCTTCTTTGTGTCTGCCCTGCCTTGGCACAGGAATTCTGGAGGGTCCCTGCGGCCTACTGGAGACATGGCCTTCCTGTCACCGCCCTGGAGCAGCTGCTCTTTCCATCTTGTCCCTATCTATCAGCGCTCTGAGGCCTGGTGGAGTTCCTGGACAAGGCGGGAATAACGACCTACAGCTGAGAACGGGACTTTGGCCACCCCTATCTTTGCAACGTCTGCCCTACTGCCCACCTAACCTCTTTTTTTTTCTATCCACTTTTCTCCCATTCTTGCTTCCAGCACGCGTTGCCTTGATCCCAACTGTGCTACAGAAATTAGGCGCCTTCTTCTTCTAACCGCCACCACCACATGGGAGAGGGCTTGGCGCTGCATCAAAAAGGCACGAGCCAACGAGCTGCAATGGCTATGTGGGGTCAGGCCCTTAATGTTTCCTTTAATGTTGCTTATTTAGTGCTTTCATGGTGTTTTCGCTGTATTCGGTGTTATTTAGTGGCGTCAGGACTGTCGAAGCCCTGGCGTTGAAGTTGTCCAGCGAGGCGTTTTGCATGGGCATTGGACTCGCGTCGTCTGTCCGCAGCCCACACATGGGCTCGACGCTGATGCTTTGCTTCGATGTCGGTGTTTCGTACGGCGGGGTTTGCTTGCCGACGCTGCCATTGCATTCCGGCAT